TCCCTTCCTCTTCTTGAGTAGGACCTCACCGTAGACTCCACTTCCAAGACAAGTAGGTTTCCCCTGTGTGAGCACTTCCTCTAGCTCAGTCTCCAAGAGCACAGGGATGATTGAAGATTCGGCAGGTAGAGGAGATGGGCTTGACGAGGCACAAGCTCCACCCAGCCCACTGGTGGAAGTAGGTGACATCTGCTTTTGTCGCTTACGAGGATTAATATCAACTGGGCTCTTCGGAGGATTCATCTGTCTCCTGATAATATAACGAGATAGTGGGATTGCTAACTACATTAGCAAAAGGTTAAATTACACGGACTTCTCTTAGAGTGAACTGCCAGTCACTTCGTCTCAAACTTAGTCGAAGTTATTGAAGTAATCCACGATCAAGGCATTCCTTTCCAATTACATTTCCCAGTTACTTGTGACTTTCTTTTATTGTGACTGACTTCTGAGTAAAAAGCTCTGCTTGGTATGGAGGAGATGTATTTTCGACCTTGGTTGATACAGTAAATTAAAGATCTCCATCTCTTGAATGAAGTACCTTTTAGCTTTGACCGTTGGTTGAGGAGTTGGTAGCGGGGATACTTGCTGGTGATGAGGCTGCGTGTGCTGCGTTCCAGGAGCAAGCTGCTGGCTAAGTCTGGGTACCACACACACAGAGGGTTGCCCAGCCTGCTGGATATTCCCTCCACTTCCAAGAAAAGAACCAAAAATAAAACAGCTCAAATTCCCCGAAGGAGGAAATCACCCAACCTAAAATGAAGCAGGATTTCGTCATGGAATTCGAACTACTTTCTAGAATTTCAAAGCATCATCATATTGAAATGATAATCCCAAAATACAACTATTGACGTGATTCATTTGTTCCCACTGAGATGTACATCAGCATATTTACCTCTTAGCCAGTGGCGGGGGCAACACTGCATTAACTGTGTTGATGTCTGCTGGGGCAGGCCTCTTGATACAAGCATTCCTCTGAAATAACAAAACTTAATATTAGAAAAGGTAAAAGGCAGCATATCCAGACAGAACATTACAGCGTTAAATAACGAATGAAATATCGTGAACTGAAACAGGCCTTCCACTGTAAGGAGAAATCAAGGCAACAGCTATACTGAACCATTGCCAATGTTTAAAACAATCAGACACACGTCTGGCACCTTCCTCTGCCTCTGTGCAAGGTACAGCCGCAAACACAACCACAGATCGTACCTCATGTCCAATGGGTTTTAATCGCGGAACCAGGGTAGCTGTGCTTTGCCCAGCCTGAACCGGTGATGGACACGCGAAGGCATGCGTAGGAAGCAGTGTAGGTGGCTTGGGTGGGGTTGGAGGAGGCAACTGTTGATTAAGCACTGGCTGAGTTGCTTGACGCATCCTCTCAGCATGTCGTAGTGCTTGGAGCCACATTGGTTCAGGCCCATTGTTGCCACTATGAATGACGCAAATGAAAACAAATAAAGGAATATTTGTAGTCTATAGAAAACCTTGCTGGTATAGTTTCTTGACAAATTTGATTACTGAATGTACCTGTTCGCCTGTGCAGTCATGGCGTGAACTTTCAGCATGATCTCATTGACAGTCTTCCGTTTTGAAATCTCCTGAAAATCGGATATAAATAAGTAAATACTTAGGCCTAAATATTAATGCACAAAATAAACCAACATGTAGTGGCGTATCCAGCGGGGGCGACGGAGAGCAACTCCCCCCCCAAAAAAAAATGCGGATTTTTTGTGTTTGTTGAAGAATGGTTAAGAAGATTGAAAGTATTCGGTATATTTATTTATCAAATATGAGATACGCTGCTGCCAACAGGATATCAACCCCTTGCTTAGGAACACAAAGAAGCATCTGACCAACTTTGTTCTCACCTGATGATCATGTGATCCGGAACCAAACTGAGTTAACGTATTCTTTGTGTTGGAAGAAGAAGTAGTAGAAAAGTCCTTGGAAGGTACTTGTTTCGATGTTCTCCGCGGTGCGACTGGTGGCGTCGACTGATTGTTAGGGGCTGGCTGCGGCGCCTGGACTGACTGCATCGCCTCTGCTATTCTGAGCGCCTTCTGCCACTTTGGTTCAGGGCCACTTTCTCCACTGTGATCAGTATAGCAAAAATGTTAAGGATGTCTGATACCCAGATGTTACACCTTGCATCAAAACTTTCTCTATCTTATTTACAAATGCATTATCCACTGTACCTGTTATCTTGTGCGGTCGTGGCTTCAACTTTCTGCATGATTTCCCGACCGATCTTCTGGTTTGTATTTTCCTGAAAGATCAGATACGAAATGGTGTCATGGTTTATATACTAACCCACGGAACAGATTGAGAGACGTGGCATCAGTTCCAGATTAAAAACAAGTACGTGGCATATGGGTACTCCAAGCTTACCTGGTGATCTTGTGATCTTCGTTTAACAGTTATTTCATTCGCCTCTCCTGAGGACGAGCTCGAAGAAGAGTCGGTCAAAGAAGACGATGATCTTCTAGGAGGTGAGCTGAATGGCATAGACTGAAGACCATTTGCTGCTGTCTGAGCATCGGCTGCCACAGTCTCTCCTCTAAAGAGAATAAAAATACGCACGCAACTGCTATTGAAGCAACACTGTGTACACTTTTTAAGGTCTTATTTGTACCAACGCACATCATTTAATTTCCAGTAAGTTCCTTCTATTTGTTGTATAATAATTGTTTAAACGTCCTGCATGACTTCGGGAACAGTGTCTGTATTTAGCATTCTCCTTCAAAATCAGACATAGTATCTTACTGCCCTTATTTTCAAATGCAAGTTCAAGACTCCTTATGTTAAAAATTCAGTGACCGTCACATTTTGGAGATTTCTTACAGGTTTTGCTTTTGCTCTACGTCGCATAAATTTTTAAGTGCCATTGACAATCGCGATTGAGCAGTTGCAATTAATGCTGAAGATGTACCGGTAAACAGAGTTTGAGGTAAAGTTTTTCTTATTTGATACTTTACCCGCGTTGTAATAGCTCTGCTATCTTGGTTTCAGCTGGTTTCCTGACTTCTCTTACAGTTGACTCCTGCTTGGCTCTCTCCTGAAAGGAAAACATAAAGATACAGTCATCGTAGATTCCCCATGATCAAACTACAAAGGTAAAGCCCTTCCTCATATCTTGGCTTTTCTTTAACAAGATAAGAAGATGCGTATTTTTTGAAGGCACAAAAACTTTTGAGATTAAAGAACACTTGTGAATAAAATGCTTTCTATTCTAATCATTAACAATTTTCATCAGGCTGACTGAATCCATACCTCCTGGCTTGGGAGCTGATCTCTAATTATAAGATGTGGAGACGATGAGGAGGTTTTCTCATCCTTCAAGTCTTCGTCGTCAACGATCGATGACGACGGTAGCACAGAAGGCTCGGTTTCTCGTAATATGTCGGTGTTTCCTTGAGAATCCCCCTGAGAAACCCCTTCATCCGCTGGTACCTCCTTGCCTTCCTCTAAGGACGAGCTCGTAGAAGAGTCCGCCGAAGAAGATGACGCTCTTCTTGGAGGTGAGATTGACAGCATGGACTGGAGGTTATCTGCTGGCTTTGCAGTAGCGGCTGCTGCATTCCCTCCTCTAAAGTGTCGTTAAAATAATCCAGGCGATCCTTGTTATTCGATACTTTAATAGTTCTGTTCCTCGGTAGAAATCCCACGTTTTATTTGTAAAAGTGCTAAACATGCAAACAGACTTTTTGCTAATGTTTTCTCATTGAGCATTTTACCTGAATTGCGATGGCTGTGGCATCTTGACTTCAAATGCTTTTCTTGCAGTTGATTCCTGCTCACTACTCTGGAGGGAAAACGCAAAGACGAAGTATGATGCAAGACGATTCCTTCTTAAAACGGGTAGCACTCTGTGTAGTTATGTCTGCTTTTTCATCAAGATAATCAAAAACATGTTTCATAAAGATAGAGAATAGGAAACAGCACAGGATGGAATGTTTTTATTTCAATAGGCAGCAATGTGCACCAGGCTCAATACCTCCATATCTCCAAGACGCAGGGATGATGAGATATCTTCCTCTTCCCTTAACTCTTCATCATCAGCATCATAGATTTCCTGGTCCTCGGACTGACTATCATCACCTATGTGAAAGTTGTCACCAACCTCAGTAGCAGGAATAGGCTGGGTAGTATCCTCCTGATGATCAGACGATGACCTGCCGGATGCATTCTGACCCTGGGACATTGGGTGGTCGAGAGAGGCGGGTCTACATTCACCTTTCGCATCATTTGTTAGCCTATGGGGAAATGCATAAACTCTTCTTCAATTTTCAAATGAAATGCAAAGATAAACTCTCTGTTTATCTTATCATTCCCTCTTTTCTTTAAGACAACTCTAACAGATAGTTTTGGTGTGCCACTGTACATTTTCTCCACATTGGTATTGCGATTATCAGTAAAGACTAAGTGAGACAAAACACTAAACTCAGTTCAGCTGATAATCACCATTAAATTAGAGCTAGACTTCGCGTGAAGTGAAATTTGTAAGCTGTGGCGTGGATTTTTTGAACGAGTCGTTTAGAAAACCCCTTCCTGTGGCCATTCTAACAAAATAGAGTGTATCTGAAATTGTTCTCCACTCACCCTTCAGCCAGGTTAGTCCATGGGGGTTTCGCCTCCTTCTGATAAGAGGGATTTCCATTGTCACTACCGGGAGCAGGTAGCACAGTTGTCGCTTCTCCTTGATCAGCTGGGTTCCCAAGAAGATCTCCTAGAATTGGTTGCAACCTGAAAAGTTTATGGCGAGTGAGTTAATACCGGTTACTTTAAAACTAAGGCATGTCACAATTTTACGCTGTAAATGCACGATAAACGCAGTGGAAGAGTATGTGTGTGTATTCAATATTGCAAAACGAATTGGCTTAACAAGATGTTAATTCGAAGTAAAAATACCTTTTAGTGGAAACGGGATCATGTGAACTGTAGCAAATGTTCGGTGTAACTAACCTTTCGATCAAGTTAGGGATAGATAGCTTAGACTGGTCCAAGACTAACCCCTTCCCAAGTTCATCAAGCAATGGAGGAGGCAGGGGTGGTGAATCGGTACCCACCGACACCAGGCTCAGCGATCGATCAGATGGGGGTAACCATCGGCTGGAAAACCACTTGCTGTTGAACGTATAGCAAAGAAATGTGCTGCTACAGGCCTACTTTAGTTTTTTTTAATATTAACTCATATCGCTTAACACTGAAACATCATTTGAAACAGCAAACGCAGGAGTAGATATTTCAACATTGAGAGGCGTGTAACTTCAGGGTGCATTCCACCAAATCGTTGTATTTCTGCGCGCGAGCTCGTTAATATTTTGTGATCCCATGGGATTTTCACAATTAGACAGACCATGGAGGCATCACAAAAACATTTCTATAAATCCCGAATTTGGGACAAATAGTTTCTAGTTCGAGGTATTTCTTTCACAAAAGCCCCAAATTGCAGGCCTGTTTTGGATAGAGGCAGACGGCGACATTCAGAAATGAGCGCTTAGTTTTACTGCTATTTTGGGGGTATCTTCGTTCAGAGGCGAATGAAAAAATTTTGTGGCTAACCCCCATGAAATTGAAACGAAAAGTGATCTTCTGGCAATAATCTTGAATTATTTCCAGTGAAAAAAACGCAGGCCGACCTTTTCACGAGAGTCAACAGGCGGCGCTATTTCGGTCCAATTCTGCACTGTTTTCTATGGGCGCGTATGGTGTAGTGCAACCTTTACCATGTCTCACTTTAAACTCAACGTTTGTATTGTTACTATGAATATCAAGCAGAAAGGATTTAAACTGAATGTAAAACAGTAAAACGTAGTTCTCTTTCACGTTATTTAACTAACATGGTTACGTATCATTGTGGATTTTCTATTGAAGTAGTGTCCAATAAAAAAAACATTTAGGAGGAAAATGTTGTGTGTTTAAATGTAAAACTACGTACAGCTATTGGATGCAGTAGATACGTGACTGTTAAACTCTTTCCGTTACGATGTCTATAGGTCAATACTGGTAGTAAAATGTTTTAAATTTTATTTCTCTGAAACTTACCGGTAATCCACCGACATCAGCTCCTCAGCTATACGTAGCACCGTTATCATTGTCAATAAGTTTTGTCTCAAGACGAATACCGCAGAAAAATCTCTTTGATCGCATCCGAAAACGCGCTGCCAAGAGAAATCCTTGTGTAACGAACAAACGCTAAACAAGAACAGAGATCTCGGTTGTTTTCTGTTTGCTTTTATGCAACATGGTTGCGAGGCGATTTGAGAAGCGCGCGTACTAATCGCGTACTTGTTTCGTCACAAAAATAGTGATAATCAGGTTCGTAAGTGACTGCGTCACAAAGGAAGACGCGCCACGATTTAAAGGCTCCCATTGGACGATCGCTGAAGTTGCGCGTTAACGACGATCAATGCATGTAACTGTATGTGCAGTGTATGTGCAGTGGGCATAGTTTAAATGCAGGTGACGTCACACTTACGAACCGGATACATGCGAGATGCACTTTTACGCATACGCGCTCGTATGGCTTTATAAAAACTACCGTGGACTCGTGTGTAATTCCAAGCCGCAGCCAAGTGGTTTGGACACGGCCTAAGTAGCTCTGCATACAGAAGTGCATTGTTCGTATTTTTTTTGCTCTGCTGGCCATAGACGCTGTATGTTTTGATGTACTCAGAAAATCGATTACGTGCAAAATTTGTATATATTTGATATGAAAAGTTTCTGAAATATTTCTAGTTCTCCCAAAGAAAAATGATAAACTGTCAAAAAGTCGAATGCATATTTTCAATGTTATCATCAATTTTCGGCTGGCAAGCAGTCTCACGTTTAAAAATGTATTTTTCATGAGGTCCCCAAATTACTCGTTTTCTGGCTGGCGAAGTTTGCATCAGGAAATGTCGGTTACCATGCTCGACATGCTCTCCATACCAACTTCCGTGGGAAGAGTTCTTTATTCATATCCTCTCCAAGTGACCCCCAACACCCAGGATCAAAAAATAGGGAGTTATACTGATGTGGAAACTCACCCAGTCATGTGATGGAATCACCGTAGGATTCAAAACTGGTGGGCAGGTTGGTTGGACCTTTTGTTGTACTTTTTGTTTGTACAAACCTATTGGCACAAATCAAATATTGTTCGAAAAATCTTTTGATGCTAAAATATTATGAAATAATTTTATTAAACTCCAATCTATTCTTAATAATGCAAATGAACTTCATTACTCTAGAAGAATTTGGAAGTATTATTTCTATTCAGGATACAGCACAATTTGAAAGTTACAGGGTAAATTTTATAACTTTTCACTGAAATCACACTATTTTGAAATTGCTTAATATTTTAAACTCTCCCAATATCTTTGAGGCAGGTATTGCCATATTCTGGTGTCAAGTTTTGCACTGCAAATTCATTTTGGACTAATGAATCATAATATAAATTTCTTATTAGGACAATATAAACAGCAATGTTAAGACTTTAAGGCAGTCAGTGTCACAAATAGTAATAATGACCTCAATATTGTTTCACATTATCACTGATAATTCAATTGTGAAAAAACACTATTGAAATTTAATTTAGTTATCAACACCTCATTTGTAACCCGCTTGTTTGCAACGTATCTTGATTTGTCGAAAATACCTTTTTTATTAATAGGCCTAGTTGTATTTATTTTGGTGCCAAAATAACCATAACAATTTGTACTTTCTTGTGAATGACGGCACAGCTACACTAAAAAATAAAAACAGGTGCCCAGTAGGTAAGTAAATTGATATAAGTAAATTTGTTTAAAACACAATGTACTTTTATTTGGTTTGACTTTTCTCAAGTTTCTTTAGAATCTGATAGCACAATTGATTCCTCAAAAGCGTGTGCCACATGACGCCGCTTCACAAAAAGGAAGACGGAGGAGAACAGCTACTCTGAAAAAAGTCAGCAGTGGTGTTGACCATGTCAGCAAGAAAGCCAAAGAATTCCACATTTCTGGTAGCAAAAGTTTGTTGACTGAGCTGAGCTGGAAGAAAAGCAGATGGTTAAAAAGGTTTGGGTCTATTTTGACGTCTGAAAAGAACTGTCAAAAGAAATACAGCGGATTTGGCATAGCAATAATGAATTCCCTTAACTTAAACACAAAATTGAGATCGAGTCCTTAGCAGTTTGAGAGTTGTGACCTAAGATCAGTCCCCAAACAGTTCCTTATGCCATTTCTACAGTGGGCACAGAGAGCATTTTCAACACTGTAATGGGTAGCAGGATCGTCGTCAGAGACGGGGACTCAAACAAGAAACCCTATTGGAAATGGTTCAAGGTTTTGTTGTAAATTCAAGAAACAGACAGAGTGAAAGGAAATAAATATTTTTTTAAAATAAAATTTAAGTTTCAATGCATTATGCATATAACAAATGTTGATGAAATATTTGGAAATCAAAAAAAATGAGCAAAATGGTCTAATGTAACACCCAAAAGGTTCTGAAAAGCCAAATAAAAGTCTATTTAATTAAACATATTTATGGGTTATTTTTTCAGGCGACTTAAACGACACAGTATCCGGACAGAGGGTACTGCCTATACAAGGCCAGATGATTATCAGGGTTAACCTAACGGGGGAACCTACCATTCATCTATCCTTATGATACTGGCACCATTCGCAATGTGATCTGCTCTTCATCCTGTGTTGGTGTGAAGTCTCTGACATCCAAGATCTTTGAGCCGCTGCACAAATATGACCATTAAACCATTTGTTTATTGAAATATAGCGATAGAAAGGTGCATTTACTTTGGTATTCAGCATTTATGACGAGGAGGGCAAAAGGAGATGAAATTGGAAATTATCAAATTGGAATGTTATCTTTCAGTGGCTATTATATTCTGTTCATTCTTTCCAAAACAGACTTGGGAAACTGACATGGAATGATGGTGTTATACCAAAGGAAAAATATGAATCAAGCTAGGAGAAGACAAAGGAGGATGTAGTTTCAAGCAGATTTTTCAAATTGGAAATGCACTACATCCAAATGCTCTTACCAACACCAATGTCGTCTGTGCCTTTGCCTCCTGGCCTCCAGAGACACTGGGGACATGTTGTAGAGCTAATTGCATCTTCCTGGAGATAAAGCAACAGTACAAACTTTCATTAATTTTGTTACTACCCAGTGTAACCTCATAGCAATTGAAGTTTAATACTGACTTAAGTGTATAAATTGTTCTATTCTGTTGGCAGACATTTCAAATAGGATTTGTCCCTTTTCGATGACTATCAACACTTATGCATGATGCATCGCATCATGGGAGCAACAGGTATGTAAACACCGGGAATGTACAGTAGTAGGGTCCCCTTCATTAGGGTGTATGCTGAGCTGATGAGTCAGTGAAGCCTCTAATTCAAGCCAAACCTGAGTTATTTTTGTTATCCTAACTGCTATGCTCTTAAAGTTTATCAGTAATCTGGACCCTGTTTCACTGTCTCCGCTTTCAATCAGGTGTGTTTAACAAGACTGCTTATCAAGTCTTGCTTGCTCCTGAAGCAATGCAACAGTTTGGAGAGAGCTTGTAATAGTCTGGATACCAGGAATCGATGGCTTCAGGTTTAGTGTATCAGTTTGGGCCAAATAAGGCATTCATGCCACATACCAAGAACATCTGAGCAGCCCTGTTACTCCACCAGGAAGTAGAGAGAGGCATCGAAGACCAAGGTAACTTCTCTCCAGGAGCAGAGCTCTGCAACAGAAGTCCTTGACTTTGTTTTACATTGTGGCAAAATAAGAAATCAGCAGCATCACAACTAAGAAAGAAGTGCCATCCAATTCTGGCCAAAGACCTCTGACAGCTCAACTGGAAAAGACCTGTAAAATTGTAGAGATGAAACATGTAAAAGGTTCGCCTAAACAGGCACACAAAAGGACCTTATTGTCAAGTGTAAACCATTTAACTAACACAGGTAAAGAACGTAAAGAAACTTACAGCAGCTATCGTCAACAGGGCTGAGGAGATTCGTACAGACCCACATGTAACTATGGCTGCTCAGCACCCAATCGACCTTTCCACCCATTGTCACAGCAGGTACAACGAAGTGATAAATACTCAATTGTTTGTAAACGTGTTGTCAAAGCATGAAGGAGAAACACCTTATTCATTTTTAGTGGTTTCTTAAAAATTATGATTTGATATCCCAAAGGTACGCCGCACAACCTGCTTTGTTTTATTGGACTACCTCTGTACACTGGGACCATCTTCCATCTTTCGCACATACTATTTTCCTAATTGATATCAGATTTATAAAGTATACTTATAGTCTCCCCGCCCCCACAGTTCAAGGGGATATCATATTTTCTCCGCGCAACTGGTTGTTGCAAGATGGGAAGTTTCCAAACCAAACTACAAGAGGCTACATGCTATTTCCTTTAGTTTAAAACACAGAAACCTAGATTCAGTGGCTCCATTGCAACTATGGTATTCTTCTTTTCCTTTACTAATGGTATTCTTCTTTTCCTTTACTAATTATTCAGATGGCTACATTCTAGAAAACTTACTATTCCCCTGAGGAAAGCATGATGACTCCAAAAACACATCTCCTGGAAGAGTGCGCCATGCCATGCATCTCAAGTTACGAGGTTGGCAAAGGGTTCCATAGAGAATAGGGTGGGATATTCGAGGGAGCAGTGATGAAGTAGCCATCCTGAAGTCGGTGATGACCACCCACTGAATACAGATAGACCCTCACAAATTAAATCGAATAATACATGTACCCTGCTAATTGCAAAAAATACAAATTCGTTCGAAAGTGAGCAAAGTAAATCAAATGAATGGAATCACTTCAAATGGCATTTTATCTAAGCTATATCGCCAATATTGCACTAAAGAAAAAATTGCAGCTTGTTCAAGTGTGGATATAGGAAGACATAAAAATGAATTGCATCGTTACATCAGAGGCCCCCAGAACGTTGGCCCTTACTTTTGCTCAGCGCAGTCTTGACTCTTGGGCAAAATCATTGTACTCCATCCTGAGTTGCTCATCATATGAGCGGATGTTACTCGAAGGCAAATTGAGTGCACTCTCAAGATTGCACTGAACATTATTGTTGGGTCTGCCTCGACGGGGCCAATTCAAGCACAGGGTAGACAAAGGCTCTGATTTTAATCCCTATAATGATACTTAAAAGGCGACCGGAACCATGTACATTTTAAATTGATCGTCTCGCCGTGCTACTCGTATTGGTACAGATATTTGTGCGACACATATTTCTACGTGTGTGCGCACCGGACGTACAAATACACATGATCCGTATGTACATGTATGTACGTGGCTTGGCTATACATACGCCGTCTATAACTTGCACGATGAAAGCTTAACTTTTTCTTTAACTGGACTTCCTGCTCATGTGGGATTCACTTCACATGCTGTTTATGTCCTTCTGAAACATACCTTTATCGAGACAGGCCTTGGAAAAGTGGAGAAAGTTTTAATTTTTCCCCTAAAAAACAATCTTTTTCATTTGTATGAATCACTTTTGAGGAAGACTGACATGAAGTAGGCCTAGATCAGATCCAGACATATACACGTGTAGTTTGTTACGTTTACAATGGGTTGTGTAATAATTTACAAGGCTTGAAAAATCTTGAAAAACTTTCAGACCCTGATCTTGAAAAAACAAAATTATCCAGTGGCAACACTGGTCACAATGCATGCAGACCTTTTGAAGATGTCCAACCCGGACTAGGTGCAGGTGTGTTTGTGCTGTGAAGCATTGCTAAGGAACCACTGGCTTAGTAATACCATAAGTGTAGATGTTTCCATAATTGGCTTACCTTTGATATGGCAGTCTGGAAGTGGGATGATGCACAGGCACCTTCTAGTATTAGGCTGCAGTATTTGCAGTTTGCGACCACTTTAACAAACACGTACCGTTTACGCGTTATTACAGCACATTTCATTATCACGCGCGTCAGCCTACGCGCTAGAAAATGGCGCCTTCCTTGTTCAATGCGCGTTCGAGCCAGTTATTTTTAGTTGAAATGAGTTTTTAAAAGGTCAACAGTAAAGTTAAGTGCTTATTAGAGTTATGTTTTAGCGTTTGTGGGGAAGGTAACAGGATTTTGTTTTAAAAACGATGGACCAATGTTTTTTTCATTCGTAAAAAGAGTTAACCCCCCCCCAAAAAAAGCTTTTCCGTCAGTACTGGAGAATAAGTGCTATAGTGCTTCCAGTTAAAAAGATGACAAAATAATTATACGTTTCTGTACGTATACCGGTGTGTCAATGGTACACGTGCGATGAATGCAGTCCTCTGAGCAAACTTGTCGCGTACGCCTACTTGCAACAAAAATAACGTGTCTGTCAGCTGAGCCAACTTTTTTAGAACTTCTAAACACAGGAATGTTCAAAGCATAGATTTCGTCATAAATTTTTTAGGTAAACGCAGAAGGTTTCCATAGCACTGTTCGTAACTTGTCAATAAGTGGTGTAATTTGGGCCACTGTCGTACATTCCAAATTGTTACATTTTAATGGGAGAGAGGTACAAAATTAAAGGAACCAGGAAATAGAAATATTTTATACGTTTTACTAAAAACTGTTGAAATTGCATCATTGGGTTTTAATTAACCTGAGTTTAAATTTTTTCTTTGCAATTTTTAGCCATATTTTGATGCTTTTTTTAGTTCTTATGCTAATGCTATTTGCATATTCATGAGTAGAACTATGATGTCATCCAAGGCACTGAATCTCAATGTTGCACTGATTTGTGCACAGACAATTTCTAGATATTTTTAACTACTGCTATGGCAGATTTTATTTTCTTTGGCAATTTATTGCTGTGTAAGTATATGGCAATAATCCAGCAAAAATCCTTTTCACAGAAATGTTCCCAGATAGCAAATTTGGGGTTTACAATTTGAACATGAAAACACGCAGCTTGAACCATGTCTTCCTGGATTTACAAAGCAAAAGCGCCCTCACTTGTCCAGAAATGATTGATCAGTTTTTAATGATTCAAAAAGTGCACTGTTCAGTTAACATAACATATACATGGAAGAAGAGCACAGAGATACACAAAAAGAAATTCTAAGAAAAATTCATTTCCTGGGCGGAAATCCCAGGGGGACGGGGGACACGTCCCCCCCCCCATGAATTTGGTATGGGGGCACAATGTCGAAAGTCCCCTCCATGTTTTAAGCAAAACAAAATACTAATTGGATTGAGTTTTTATAAATCGAAAAGATAATAAACACGGTGTGCACAAAAAGGGCATAATTTGTCACTAATGAGCAAAGAAAAGGATGATTGTTATGTTTACATTGCTTCCACTGTATTTCTTAATAGCGCCCTCCTTTGACCGGTAATCTGAGAACCATGCTTTACACTCATCCATAGACAGTGGATTTCTCACAGCGAATTTGTGCATCGTTTTCCCACATTTTCAGGGCACAAATTTTCCTCTCGCTCCTCGCTAACTGTATACAGCGCCTAGTGAAGCATTGCCTGTAAGTTGATTCCGGTTTTATTCCTTGTCAAGAGGTATTTCAAGTAGTTTAGAGGCCTTTATAACATTCGGTTTTCATGTCAAGTTTACCTTGTTTACACATGTTCATGTAAATACCCACATGTTGACATGCTTTATAAGGATGCAACAACTTATAACACACCAAGCGATCCACGTGTTCATAGGGATGTGTGTGCCTATTTTTTGCACTTATAGTCCTGTTAAATAGACATATTTAGGGCTCTGTGAGCTCAGTATTTACATGCACATGTACTCGTTCGACTAGTTATTAGTATGAATCTCAATGTATTTTGAGACTAAAGACTCATCATACATGTGTAATGTTTGTGTAGTAATACTGTAGTGCACGTATTCATAGCTTGTGTTTTCTTGTTTACCACGCAGTTTTACTCCTTGTCGATGACATCACCATCCAGTGTGACCAAATATTAAAACACCAGAGCGACATGTGGAGCTATTTCCTGACTCCCATTTCGTCAGTGATAGGAGTTTGGCTGGCTGCCAAATTGAGATTAGAAACATCCTCAGGAGGGCAGTACTATGATAATACAGGAAAGATAAAGAGTGGTGGGTGGATTGCCTACCTCTCGCCTTTGGCCCCCTTCAAGGTCAAACAGCCATGGTGATTGAAAAATCAAGTGGCATGGTTGTTGACTGCGAGATGGATTTCAAACTCGGCCAATTTTATGCTAGAAAATTGCATTGGTCCAATATAACAACTTTAAAACTACTTCAAAGGGTGTGTGAGCAAAGTGCACCTGCAAAATGTAATCAATGCTAACAGCTATTATATGAATATAGCGGCTGCATTTTCATAGACGCATCTTACTCCTAAAGGATGCAGTTCATTATGACAAGCCCAATTCTTATATTACTGATTACACTGAAACGCGTTTATACTTTGTAGACGACATACAAAAAATATCCCAAACCTCGGTTTAAATGCAGATGAAGAGTTTTAATGATTCTTTAAAAACAAAACAGAAGATAGAAATTCCCTTTAACTACCTGCCTACTCCTTTTTGTCTTTTTCTTCTTTAAAACTCGAGTTGTTGATATTGTTAAATTCACGTAGCTCTTTTCAGAACACCATAACTTGGTGTTAAAAAATAAAGCTTATAAAAAGTAAAATTTGAAATATCTACAAATTTTAGGACGACATCGCAAAATCAGTTTATCCGAAAATTCTGTGTCAGTAGAGATACATGGGAAAGGTACAGCAGAAAGTCAGAATTTCGTTCTTAAACACAACAATGTCTCCAACAATGACGCCCTAGGTTTTAGGACGATGAAAACAGTAACCAAATAAGGAAAGAAAATTAATCTGCACCTTTTCGAAATTCTATTTTGCAAATACCAACTCTGATAACTCTTTAATGAATGTCCGTTTCTTTCACACGTTTTCCACATTATTAACACTCATGCCATGATTATAACAATGATATTTTATAAGTAAATAAGTGTATGTGTAATTAATTTTATTTTTTCAATTTTTTTCATTTTTTTTGAAATAGCACTGATACCTTATTCTACTTTGAATATTGGTTTAGGCTTTGCAGCCTTACACTTTATCAATAACGAAATTTTGCTGCCTTGGCCATCTTTGATAACCTGTTCAGTCTATTTCTGATATCTGCCATAGCCGCCTTCACTACATCACACCGGAATCCTTCCAAATCCTGGATAATCGATTCCATCGTTGGCCGATCTTTCAGCACTCGACGACACTGACAATAAATGGAGTCGACCACCCCCAGTTCTGGCTTTTGGAAGGAGATGACGCTGAACACGTAACCCAAACTGTAGACGTCCGTTTGGATTCCGTACTGACAGGTGCCCTCAATCAGCTCTGGAGCTAATTGCATACAGTTCCTGTAACATTTTGCCTTTTCCTCAACGCTGTACTGGAAGGGAGGAGGTGGGTTGTCTATCCTCGTAGCCATTCCCAGGTCGATTATTTTGGCACCCCAGTTTCCATCCGACTTGTTTCTTGGGTCTCGCCACACCATGATGTTGCGAGTGTGAAGGTCATTATGTGACCATCCAGCTTGATGCAAAGCGTGAAGTCCTCTCGATATATCGAGGCATATATTGATCCATCCGAGCTTGGTGAGCTTAGCTGGAGGGTAGTCCACCACACTGCGTAGGTGTGTGGACTTGAGGGCCACTGAATCACCAACAAACTCTACAGCGAAGGTTGTTCGGTTCACAATTCCCACCACCTTGGGAAATTCACGACGGTGCTGCACGGCCATCATCACTCTCACCTCTTCTAACATCTCTTTGTAAGCTTTCGCGTCATCAGTCACATTCTTGAGGCGTTTCAGTGCAATCAGCTGTCCATTCTTCCTTCTTTTGAGTAGTACCTCGCCGTATACCCCACTTCCAAGACAAATGGATTTCCCCTGTGCGAGCACGTCCTCTAGCTCAGTCTCCAAGAGCACAGGGATGATTGAAGATTCGGCAGGTAGAGGAGACGGGCTTGACGAGGTACAAGCTCCACCCAGCCCACTGATGGAAGTTGGTGAAACCTGCTTTTGTCGCTTTCGAGGATTGATATCTATTGGGCTCTTCGGAGGATTCATATGTCTCCTGATAATGTAATGAGAAATTGAGGTTGCTTATTACTTTATGCCCAAGGTTCAGTTATACAATTATGTAAATGTCAAAGTGTGCTTTTTGTGGAGCCAGACCTGTGTGGAACTTCCCTAACTTAAGTGTGCTTTGGAGTGAATCGCAAGTCATCTTCTGTCAAACTTAGTCTTCAGTTATTCAAGTAATCTACGACCAAGGTATTTGTTTTTCATTGTTTTATGCCAGCTGCTTGCGGTTTTTTGTAACTGACTGGAGACTGGTTCGTTTAAATGAAACCGTCCTGTATGACAGAGAAATATATTTTCAAGCTAGATTTTAATAATATGAAATCAAGTTTTTGTGTTTCTTGAATAAAATACCTTTTAGCTTTGAACGTTGGTTGAGGGCTTAGTGGTTTGACTGCCTGCTGGTGATGAGGCTGCGTGCGTTGCGGTCCTGTAGCAACCTGCTGGATACGTCTGGGTACCACAAACACAGGGCATTGCCCGGCCTGCTGGATATTCCCTCCACTTCCAAGAAAAGAAACAAAAGATAAAGTATCAGTTCAAACTTCCCCGCAGGAGGGACACAGCTAAAATGCAGCAGGATTTGGTCGTGGAATTAGAATTACTTGTTAGAATCTGTTAAACCAGTCGTAATTATGGATCTGATTCGTTTCTTCCTACTGGAATGTATATTAATTAATAGATTTACCTTTTAGCCATTGGCAGGGGCAAGATGGCATTAACTGTGTTGATGACTGCTGGTACGGGCTTAATGCTCTGTCTCTTGATACAAGTATTCCTCTGAAAAGACAAAACCTAATTTTAGCAAAAATATCAAACAAGAACAGAAACAAATGCTCAGTTTTAAATGAAAAATTGAACGGTGAACTGAAATGCCTTCCTCTGAAAGAAGAAATCAAGGCACTTCGCGCAGACGGGCAAGAGCTATGCTTAACCGTAGCCATCATTTAAAATACGTCACACGTCTGACAACTACCTCTGCCTCAGTGCAAGGTACTGCTGGAAACACAACCACAGATCGTACCTCATGTCCAATGGGTTTTAATCCCGGAACCAGGGTAGCTGTGCTTTGTCCAGCCTGAACCGGTGATGGACATGCGATGGCTTGCCTAGGAAGCAGTGTAGGTTGCTTAGATTGGGTTTGAGGAGGCAACTGTTGATCAAGCACTGGTTGAGTTGCATGACGCATCCTCTCAGCATGTCGAAGTGCTTGAAGCCATATTGGTTCAGGCCCATTGTTACCACTACTAACGAGACAAATGAAAGCAAATGAAGAGATCTGGTATAGAAAACCTTACAGGGACAATTTCTAGACAGGATTCGTATTTGAGTTTTTAGTGTACCTGTTGGCCTGTGCCGTCATGGCTTGAACCTTTCGCATAATCTCACGGACAGTTTTCTGTTTTGAACTCTCCTGAAAAATCAGATGAAATGAATAAATTGTTAATATTTATGCATAAAATAAACACACATGATATCAACCACCTGCTTAGGAACACAGAGGTATCTGTTCAACTCCGCTCTCACCTGATGATCTTGTGATCCGGGTCCTTGTTGAATTGACGTTTTCTTCATCTCTGATGACAAAGTCGTAGAAGAGTCCTTGGAAGGTACTTGTGGCGATCGTCTTCTCAGAGAAACCACCAGTGGCGTCGACTGATTGTTAGGTGCTGGCTGCAGCAACTGGACTGACTGCATCCCCTCTGCTATTCTGTGCGTCTTCTGCCACTTTGGTTCAGGGCCACTCTCTCCACTGTGAGAATTATTGGTAAAATGTTAAGGATGTGTGATATCCAGATGGCAAACGTTTCATCAAAAATGTCGCTATCTTGTTTACAAGATACTTTTTGATTATCCGTATGTCAAACTTTGTATCAAAAATCATCCCATCTCGTTTACGAAAGGCAATTTTGAATATCTGCTGTACCTGTTAGCTTGTGCAGTAATGGGTTCAACTTTCTGCATGATTTCCCAAGCGGTCTTCTGTTTTGCATCCTCCTGAAAGATCAGATACAAACTCAGTCTGATGTTATGGTTTATATAAATTACCCAAAGAGCAGATTTGAAAACGTGATATCAGTTGCCTTGCTTGGAAAATCCTACTTTGCCTACTCCACACTCACCTGGCCATCTTGTGATCTTAGCTTGATCGTTATTTCCTTAGCCTCCTCTGTGGACGAGCTCGCAGAAGAGTCCGAGAAAGAAGATGGTGTCCTTCTCGGAGGCGAGACGGATGGCCTGGCTTGAAGATTATGTGCCGGCCTCTGAGCAGCGACTGCCATATTCCCTCCTCTAAAATGTCATAAACAAATACAGACACCCCTGATCATCTGATTTGTCTTCGTATGTCTTCGTTTAAGTAGAAAGGATTTGCAGTGTCATTTTCACATGATGACCAACTAGTTGCATTGGGAACACGCAGACCATAGCAATCTGTTTCTAGGTAGAATCATGCGTGAATTTGTTGAAACTGCTGAATACGTCAATAAAACTGTTTTCAAGGAAACTTCTACTTGAACCTTTTACCTGAGTTGCGACGGCTGTGACAACTTCGCTTCGTCTGCTTTTTTGACTTCTCTTACAGTTGACTCCTGCTTGGCACTCTCCTGGTTGGGAAATACATTGGTAAAGTTATGCGAGGAGAGACCTTCTTCAACTAAAATAAGCAGCACTCGTCATAGCTATGTTTGCTTTTAAAACAAGATAAAAATAAATACCGGATCATATTTCATTAAAACAGAATAGAAAACACGTGTGGATGGAATGCTTTTATTATTTAAATAGGCAACAATGTGCACCATCTCCATACCTCCTTAATCCTTTGGAGGTGATCTTCGAGATGTAGAGATAAAGAGGAGTCTCTCTCATCTTTCAACTCTTCATCGTCAGCATTGTAGGCTTCATGGTCTTTGTTCGGTGACGATAACAGTACAGAGGGCGGGGCCTGTCTTGTTTCATTGGCTCCCATGGGATCACTCGGTGAAGTTCCAACATCCAGTGGTGCTTCTTGGACCTGACTAGCATCACCTCTTTGGGAGTTATCACCAGTCTCTGTAGCAGGGATGGGCTGAGTGGCATTATCTTGATGATCAGAGGACAAGGTACCTGATGCATCCTGGCCCTGTGACATTGGCTGATCAAGGGAGGCGGGTCCACTCTCATCTTTTGCATCATTGGTTGGCCTATGAATAAATGTATAAACTCTTCTTCAGTTTTCAAATAAACTAAAAAACGGACTTCTCTATTCATCTTATTAAGCTCCTTTTTGCTTAAGACAACACTAAACGAAAGTTTTTGTGCGCCATTAAACATTTTCTCCACGTGGGTATTTCGAGAAGCAGTAAAGACTAAATGTAACAGAAAGCTAAATTGAGTATAGCCGGTCATAACCATTAAATTGGAGCCTAATGCTTATTGAATTGAAACTTGTAAGTTGTAGCGTGGATGTTTAGAATAAGTCGTCCAGAAAATCCCGTCTTGGGGCCACTCAAGAACGAATAAAGTGTGTCTGAGACTGTTCTCCACTGACCTTTCAGCCAGGCTAGTCCACGGAGGTTTCGCTTCTTTCTCATCCCCATTTTCACTACCAGGAGCAGGCAACACAGTTGTCGCTTCCCCTTTATCTTTGAATGGAACAGCTGAGTTCCCGAGAAGATCTTCTAGCATCGGTGGCAACCTGAAAAGTAATGGCGAATGAGTTTATTTCGAGTATTTTTACAACTGATACAAATGGCACAGTTTTATTCTGCAAATGCACGATAAACGCAGTGGAAGAGTATTTGTGTGTTTGATAAATACTGCAAAAACGTACACTGATTCTACAAGATGTTAATTCTAAATATGAAAAAGACTATTTTTTAATGGAAACGAGATTTTGTAAAATGCATGCAGCAGTTGTTCAGAAACGAGGAAGTACATGTACAACTAACCTTTCGACTGAGTTAGGGACATGAGATAGCCCAGACTGCTCCGAGGCTAACCCCTTTCCCGGTTCATCAACCAATGGAGGAAGCAGGGATGGTGAATCGGTACGTACCGGCACCAGGCTCAGCAACCGATCAGATGGGGGTAACCATCGGCTGGAAAACCACTTGCTGTTGAAAGCACAGCAGAGAAAAAAATGTGGTGTAGTTTTTCGTTTATGTTAACGAGTGTCAATAAACACTTTAGCATTTCTCGGGGCAGCAATCGCAAGAATGCTTGGTCTATGTTACTGGCTCGTGATTTCACCAAGTCTAACTTGCAACTTATTGTAGGTATTGTCACTACAAATATCGGACTAAAGGAATTTATTAACTGCATACGAAAGAACAACTCATATTTCAAATTCACATTAAACAACTCACGTCTCTCATTTAAGATTTTGTATTTAAGTTATGACCCATGAAAGCACGTTATTATTTAGAAGGGGTATGAAAGTAGACACATGAATATTTAGTTCTTCCGCTACGATGTTTGTAGGCCACAGAAAACTAAATGCGGGAAAAGTTTATTTCTTTAAAACTTACCGGTAATCCACCGACGTCAGCTCCTCAGCTATACGTAGCACTGTTATCATTGTCAATAAGTATTGTCTCAAGACGAATACCGCAGAAAAATCTCTTTGATCGCATCCGAAAACGCACTGCCAAGAGAAATCCTTGTGTAACGAACGAACGCTAAACAAGAACAGAGATCGGGGCTGTTTTCTGTGTGTTTTTATGCAACGTGGTTGCGAAGTGATTTGAGAAGCGCGCAGTAGTTGCGTGCTCGTTTCGTCACAGAGACAACTTCATTGTGCATTTGAAACGCTGACGTTGTGCGCATAATTATGCGCTTGTCTGGTTTTATTTTCGTTCATACGCGTGCATACAAAAATCCCATGCTGCTCGTGCACGTACTTAAAACAAACTAGTGTCATGGATTTCTGTTATGATCTCACTGCGACTGATACTTAAGCTTATTTTTTCTGTAAATTTTAGCCATTGACAAGACTAAACGAGTTAGAAATGGAAACGTGTAAGCATTTTCAACTAACTCTGAATTTTGGTTTTCTTGGACAGGCTTTAAAAAAAGAACTGGGCTAATTAAGCCACTGGCAAAATAAGTTTATATTTCAGACCATAATTTTTTATACATGTAAACCAAAATCATTAATCAACCACATTGCAAAGAGATTGGCAAAGTGTGGTGCCTATGATTCCCCGTCCCTCCTTCTCGGCCTACCTCTAATTACAGGTCACACACCCAAGCTTATCAAAAACCCTAGTGGCAAATAATAGTGGCAAATAAACTCGCTGGTCGGTTGCCACCAAAGGGGCGCGCACTATTTGCTATCCGCGGACAAGACTTTCAACTAAAGCCCATTTGGTGTGTCTAAAATTTCACGTGAAAACTATACATACAGAAGTCGCGGGGGGTCGCCGCGAATGTCGCCGGGATCGTTTTGCCGTAGCTCAAACTTATAAACCTTTTCCCTGTGATGTAGCATTCGTGCTGGACTGCAATGTGTTGTAATGGTAATGATTGCATGGTGTTGTGATGGTAATCTACCTATTCAAGATAAATTAGTGTTCGCGCGTGCGCTTGTACGTGGTTGAAGCTGCTCGTAGGAATATATGCGATCACCGTGGCCGTGGCGGTCCACACGTGGTAATATATTGTTTACATCTAGCGCAATCCAGTCACGTGGGTGAAAAGGGTCTGTGTGGGCTACGACTAGGATTCATTGTTACGACTGATACGTAAATTTGTGCCGGAAATTGGGGCGATGGGGAAAGATGGGAGGGATGACTTGCCCAACCATGAAAATTGGAAAAGCCGTGGGGGGGATGACACCATACTACTCTATAATATGAGTAAATCGTACCAAGCACCAACGATGGCATGAATATTCAATTTCCTATACCTCAGTACACAAAGTTTTAAGAATGCAGATTACCAGAGAAAATTTGCGGCGGCGATCAGAGGGTACAAAGGGGTTTCGTGGTCGTGAAACTCTGGCTATGGACATAGGCCTGCTGGGCATGATAGAAAGCGGTAATTGGTCGGACGTTTAAGCCCGGGCAACTCCGTCTGTATCCATTCTCTATGGCTATTTCCCACTCCAAGCATCTGGTATTCGCCTCTATTTTCAAACTCTCTTTGAAATCCGTACATCGAATACAAACAACACAGGTTTTAAAACTTTGGTATTATTTTTTCCACTGAAAACGACAAATGCATGAGTGTCACAGCTCAAAGCTTTTCCGGCTTCATGATTTAATGGTCTGTATGTTTTTCAGCACAGTGCCATAAAAACACATATTTAGAAGTGCATAATTCTTTGAAATTGTTAAGATTTGCATATAAAATATCCCTCAAAATCACAGTTTATAGTCATTCTGCAAAAACTTTTGTTAAAATCGAGTAAATGGATTAATTCAGCTAGCTTGTTAGGAATGAAGCTAGTATTTTGTGCTTCTGTAAAAGTACAATTAAAACTTCAGAAATAATGTAAATAGCTAAGAATTACGAAGTGACACTGGCTTAATGGTTTATCAAAAATATTGTCCCAGCAATAAATTACGGTGAAAGAGGTTACATACAGACACAGGAAAGGTGCTGCCATCAATCATCTGTCCATCAGCACTGAAAGAATGGCTGCCTTAGAGTCACTGTCCAGAGCTAGATCTAGAGTTTTACCATTGGAAATTATGTTTATTACACACACACTGACATGGACAGGCAAAAATAGCTTCCTAGAGAAGGAACAAAGTATGCAGCAACATTTTCCACGATCACGTTTGTTGTGGCCTGTTGGTTAGGGTTTATAACTCCCGATCACTAGGACAGAGTTCAAATCTAGCAGCTGGTCATATGCTGCTATCTTGGGCAAGCTGCTTTACTCTTTACATGTGTGTTACATGAATGGGCGGGGAAAATGATAGTACACAGGTACATACAGCAGCACCCTTAAATATGACAAACTTTTAAATACTGTGCCATACAAGTGCAGCAGTATGTTTGCTGACAAAGTCTCACGTTTCAGCCTTCTTCGAGCCATTTGGAGCTTCTGTGCAAGGCATTTGAGTGTAAGTATCAAACAACCTGTTAATTTGGGGGGAGGATTTACTCTACAATCTTTGCTTGTACAGTCTGTGGCATAGTCACTTGAATTGCATGCAAGTGACCATGGTCAGTACTACAGTCAGCTGACACCAATCAACCAATCAACAGCTTGCTGTCATAGAGGTTTGCGGAAGCACCGTGCAAGGATATCTCTTTCCGAGTATGTGTGGTTCTGAAAAGGACCGAAGGGTATTCGGACAGTATGCTCTGTCCATCTTAAAGATACAACAGCAGCTTTTAACACATTCCTAGTGCACAGGAACATTCAAACTTAGCATGCTTATATTTATTAGATGTTGTTTGGGAGCTGCTACAGGCTCTGTTGAACAAAAGCATGACACTCAAGACTATTTCAACATGGCGATGGCTTAAATTTCGCATAAAGGACCTTTATTCTTATTTGGAGAGAGCAGATGTCATGCAAGAATGCCTCAACTGTGAGGCACAAAAGCAACACACCCTGCCATGACAAAAAAACAAGAGAACTACACGTAGTTGGTGATGGTATACTGTGCAAATCAGCCCCAAGGGATATTGCTGTCACGAGGAGTTCAGTTTAATGCTCAAATTCTTCTTGTCCATGCGCAGCGGTAAGGTGGCAGAGGAGAGAGCAGAAACCTCCCAGTACAGACTGCGGGATAGAAACAGTCGATAGAGGAGGACAACGGCTAATGTCTGGGCCGTCACGGCTCCTATATTCACCACCTGCGGGGAGACACAAACAGTTTCTGCACAAATGCCTTTTACCAGTGTCTATCTCTGAGTAGCCTGTGCATGGATGGGCATGTTGCCAGGACTCGTCTTGAGTAGAGAGCGGCAAATGGACAGTTTTGATAAAAACTGAAAAATGTTTGAGGGAGGGTAGACAATAGAGTACCGAAGTGTGACATCACTGTGAACCAGAAAATGCAGTGCAAACGAATGGAGTATGCGCGCGTGTTGGTTCACGCACTGGTTCACGTGCTCATGCCTTTTACACACTAATTGTGCGCGTGACGTATTCACTTCGGTACTCTATAATTGATGCCTCGCTTGCTGTTCAAGGAAGAGAATGTAGTATACACACACTACGAACATCGAACAAAAGAATCACAGCATTCACAATGAGCATCCATTGTTATTACACCGTAATTCTTTTGTTAGGTGTTCATAGCGACATATGGGCAATTCCATGAAGAAGTGGACAAAGTTAAAAAATGGAAATGTAACATAACTTCAGAACTAAAAATGTCACAAAAAGTGGTGTCAAATCAAAGACAACTAGAATATCTTTCATATGAGTGGTGTACCATTGAGATTTGATTCAGTTGAGTGTGGTATTTGGGGTTAAAAACCTGTTTGGGGGGCAAAAATCACTGATATTTTGCACCCATTTTGGCATATTGCTTTGACGTGCTAAACTTGAGTGGTAATGTAATATTTGTCATCATGTCAAAGAAAAAGGCTCATATATAATGCTAAAAGACATTTTTTGCTTATTAGCCCCTCATATTTTACACCTTGCTGAAGATCAGTGGACAAACTGTAACGTAACTAACCGTGACGTAACTAACCAAGATTTTTGGTTATTACTTAAAGTGATTAGAGAAATTTAGAAATGATATCTGTCAAAAACATTTTTTATTCAGTAAGTAATTCAAGAAATACCATGAAGTCACCCTGACTTATCCCACTTCACGGAAACTGGTTGCAAAGACTCTTTCATTTCTGTCTATTTTTTGTAATGTAACTAACTGAAATTAAATGTCAAATTATAAAACAAGAGACACCAAATTTCCTAATGGCTTTGTTAGCGAATAGATGCATTGATGGTTCCAATATGGAGAACTAATCCCAACAAATGACGATCTGGGATCCCGAACAGTCATGCAACAGTGCTTAAAATGTAACGAAACTAACTATGGAATTGCCCATATGGACTTGCCATAAGGTCACATTTCGATGTGCCCTGAGCGACTGTGAATGACCAGAAGACAGTTCTATTTCCCAAGGCCAAGGGCCAAGGAAAAACGGCCCTCTTCCTGGTCACTGACAAGCCTGTACAAAAAGCATCCATGCAATGATACATATACATCTTAGACTCACTTTTGTGCATCTTTATACTCTTCTTCTATGCATGAAAACAGTTTGAAATCCTTTTGGGATTCAATGTGCATTGCAAAGTACACTTTTAAAACCTCAAGAATTATGACATCACATGCAGTTTTGCTCACAATTATGGAATTTCCAAGCAGCATAAAAAGCAAAAGGCTCCAAAAACATAACTTGAAAATAAGGTTATAAATTGAAACACAAAGGCGCAATTTCAAGGGTTATAATACAATAACTGTATTGTAAGAATACATGTGGCATCCCAAGATGGAGGCGCTGTTGAAACACACAGCAACAAATCAAGCCTCAACCACTGTGCAGTGGTTTCCAAGTTCTCACTTATGAAATAAAGCACCCGATTTCGTGGGACCACTGAGAACGAGAGACTTTTTTTGCTGAGGAAAAAATCAGCAGAGTACTAGTTACAAGAGGTAGACAGTGTATGAATTTCGCTTGGTAACCTGTTTTTGCTAAGCAAATACTTCCTCTGCTTAACACAATTCTGTGCTTTTTGTAATATGGCTGTGAAGTTTGACCCAGGCCTCTGCAGTAGCTGGTTTACTGCCAAATTTTGAATCCGTCACTTTCATGCTCAAGCTGCTGTTGACTGTGCTGACACGGAAGCATCGAGCCGTAAACTCCCCAGAAGGGGCCAATTTCATGGAGCTGCTTAAGCACCAAATTTGCTTACCAGCTCAAAATCTATGTGATTTTCATGCTAACCAAAAGACAGGTGAATACCATTCCAAAACAATATACGTCACATGGAGTTTGGGCTGGTAACCTGATTTGTCAAGCAAAGTTTTCACGCTTAAGCCAATTTTGAGCTTTAATCAGCTTTATGAAATTGGCCCCTGGAGCTGATGATATTTGGAATGTTTCATGGGCCCAATGAGCGGGGGTAGTAATGATATAGCACTACTAGCACATACATTTTGTACACATGCAATTTATAAAATGTCCATTACTGTTATTAAATTGTTGCATCTACCACCAACTGTACCATCTAAATTTTATAACTTCTTTCCCCCGAAGCTATACCATTTTGCAAGGGACCTGCCAGTTTTTAAGATGTGAAAATATTGCAAAAATGTCCTACCTTTCTCCTTAAATGCTGAGCTAAAAAGAGTGATGTCAGCACCAGGACTGGGTAGGCAAAGAACCACAGAAAGCAATACTGGAGGAAACAAAGTCAAACAGTGGTGAAACATCGGTTGGGAAGATTCAGAGAATGCAGGTGTGTCATCTATATGAATAAATCTGAACATCCAAGATCCTTCAAAATCAACTGGGAGACCTTAGGGGAATTTTCCAGAATTCAGGATTAAGTAACATTAATACTTTCTATTTATATAGCGTCTGGTTGCCAGAGGATTCAGAATGCTGATGCTCAAAATCAAGAAATCTGTATTGTGTCTTCACCAGCACCCATTTCTACTTGTGGAAAGAAGCAACTACAGTAAAGTGTCTTGCCCATGAACACAAGTACCATGGTACCCACAGAGTTCAAACCCACATTATATCAGGAGTGAGACAGCCACCTGAAGTACTAAATCACAGCAGTTTCTCAATAGCAGTTTATCCATTGATGGTTGAGCGTGACAGTGAGCTCTTGACAAAGTCAGCCCTGGAGAAGATTTACCATACATGCACAGCTGTTTGCCGCAAGTTTGCACTAAATTTCTGTCTGTAAATGCATAAACCCATGGGCAGTGGTCAGGGGAAGGGGGATGAGTGCTCCACTTTCACCCCCCCCAAATAGGAAAACAGCAAAAACACAGCTAAGAAAAAACAAAAACTTAACCCTAACAGTCCTCAGTCCTCCAACAGGTGAAGGACTGAGGAGTGTTAGGGTTAAAAAAAGGAGGAAAATGAAAATCACCCATCTACTTGAAAATACCTTGGAACTAACCCCTTCCACTATTAAAAGGTTTCCTGTTAACGAGAACTTTGTCCCCCCCCCGGAAAAATCCTGGAAACGCCCATGCATAAACCTGTAGGCTTTTTTTTTGTGGACAGCAGGTGCAGACAAGCAATGTTGCAGGGCTTTTCTTGCACTTAAAGACAGAAAGCTTCTGTGGGATCGGCAACCTACCTTGGCAAAGTTGCTGTAGAACTCCCGCCGCATGGCGCTGCGCTCCTTAGGCAAGACCTGTTGCAGGGTGTGGGCAAAGAGCAGGGCCAGCGCCACCCTCAGGAAAAGGATAAGAAGGCCTGTCACGCTGTGGTGGGCATGGTATGGACTGTGGTCATAGTACCATACCTGCTCCCACAGGATCAGTAGACCCTACCAAAGAGAAACATGGCCATGTTTGCATTACATGCCTAGAGGGGGCATTCCTTCTTTTGCGCAGTAAAGAAAACCAGATTTTAGTTTCCAAGGGTTTCCTTTACTGTTTGCCACAATAAATCTAACCCAAAAGTGCTGTTCTCCATACAGGGGCTAATTTTTGAGGACCTCGCTTGGTCAACACAGGTTTCGCACAACGTACATTGTGTGGACGTCTTTTGTTCACAGGTCCACACACAGTCGGATCAATGTGGACAGACATGAAGTGAACTGTACAATTCATATTTCAGAAAACCCACACCAATTACAAATTCTGCCATCCACATCCCACTCCCCTCAATCTACTCTTTAAGATCAGCTGCAAAATCTCCTTTACCAAGCGATGGAAGAAACAGTTTAACAATTCCACAATTTTGCAGTGTTTACTCAAACCATAGTAGGGTTTCACAAATATTATGAGATGCCCCTAACATATTTAAGTTCTCAGAAAACCCACTGGACAAACGGACTGAATTTACCATTATAATTTTTATTTTTCAATCATTTCTTGGGAGGGGTGTGTAATGTAGACTTTGACCAACCTGAATGTGCATCACAAATGACATGAGATTAAAAAATGGAAGACCACTGGGACAGAATGGAGCGAAAATGCATAACTTTAACAATCAGATAGGAATACGGTACAGACTGAGTTAGTGTAGCCGTAATGTAGAACCCATGTACTGTACGTGTAAGTAGGATCCCTAAAAATGGTTGTGTCTGGATTGAAGACAAAAACTGATTCAGGTCTACATTCCCCTGGGCAACAAAATGCTCACACTTGTTAAACCAAGTACATGTGTACACGTCTTGTGTACATGTTTTGCTATAGAGGACAGAGAACCATGCCTGGTTCCCTGTCGAAGATGGCCAGTCTGCTGTCTTTGGTGGTATAAAACATAACTGATTTCTGTTTGAATTGATAGTCTTTACACAATGCACCGGGTACATGTGTGAGCCAGGCAACCCGTCTTTTATTTGTCGGTGAGGGGGTCAGGGCAGAGAGGAGCAACTAGCAACAGTTTTGATGCAAGGAAGCAACCTGCCTACCTGTACGACGGCCATGCCAGCAGCAACTTTGGCAAGGGGCGAGCTTTTCCAGATCTGAGATGTGGCATGCGTCTTAGCTGAGCCCAGGGTCCATCCCAAGGACAAGCTCAGCATCATGTAAAGCATCTCGAATTGAGCTGCGATATCTGCCACTAGAAACAAAAAATGTAACAAAAAACGCAACACTGAAAACATACAGAATGCTTCTGTGTCCCTAACCATGCAAAATGCAACAAAGATGAAAACTACTGTTAACTATTGGATTTAGTCGTCACTGCAACTAGCAGGGGTACCCTGTGTAGCCTTGTGGTACCCTGGTTGTGCGTACAGTACAACACACAATGCAACGAAATCCATGTTCTGTTGCATTCGGTTGCATTCAGCATAGTTCTCATTTCAGCTATGTTGCATTCAGCAAAGTTCTCATTTCACCTGCGTTTTATTCTGTTGCATTGGGCATACATGTAGTTCTTACAATCTGCTGTGTTTCACTCTGCTGCATTGAGCATAGTTCTCACATCAGCTGTGTTGCATTCTGTTGCATTCAGCATAGTTCTCACATCAGCTGTGTTGCATTCTGTTGCATTCAGCGTAGTTCTTACATCAGCTGTGCTGCATTCTGTTGCATTCAGCGTAGTTCTCACATCAGCTGTGCTGCATTCTGTTGCATTCAGCGTAGTTCTCACATCAGTTGTGTTGCATTCTGTTGCATTCAGCGTAATTCTCACATCAGATGTGCTGCATTCTGTTGCATTCAGCGTAATTCTCACATCAGATGTGCTGCATTCTGTTGCATTCAGCATAGTTCTCACATCAGCTGTGTTTCATTCTGTTGCATTCAGTGTAGTTCTCACATCAGCTGTGATTCATTCTGTTGCATTCAGCATAGTTCTCACATCAGTTGTGTTGCATTCTGTTGCATTCAGCATAGTTCTCACATCTGCTGTGTTGTATTCTTTTGTATTCAGCATAGTTCCCACTCCAGCCATGTAGCATGTTATTGCATTTAGCATGGTGTGCAGAGAGCTTAATGAGTGATACAGGGCTGACATACTGGTGTAGGCAGACTGGGATTCATTTTCCCCTGCGGTAGAAACACTGGAATTGCCTGGCAGACAATGTCAGCTGCCACGGGAAACTACAAAGGTCAAACCGTATGTAAGATAAATTGACCAGGTATTTATATTTTTTCAACCAACTTTCCAGCCGACTTACACTCTGAGACATTCTCCATAAGTGGAGACCCCTGACCATCCGTCGAGTAGCCATAGAGGTGTATGAACATACACAACGATCCTACAGCTTGCAGGCAGAGTACTGTTGTCAACATGACTAGCACCTGGATTGGTGAATGGAAATGAGTAAACAGCACTGCTAAGCCACATCTACAATTGACACTATGGTTTAGGGCTGCGGATATTGACTGTACTGTGCCAATGAGGAAAAAAAAACGTTGCAGAACATGCCCCGACCAACTAGCTGAGGGTATGGCTAATTACAAGTTTCCATTGGAACCGGCTGCAGCCATCAGTTACAATTATAACACAACTCTTTCATTCTGGTTGGCTGAAATATGATCATGTGTGGTTCACTATTTAGGCTAGTGCATAAAGTTTGCATCAGCATGAATTGGACACATACCCAGGCATCACACATACGTAAATCCCAGAGTATTGGGCAATATACTGAACTGTTAGACTAATACATCGCCCTCATAAAAAACGGTGAACAGCTTTTCCAAAATTGAATATAGGGAAATACTGATATGTTCCTTTAATGGTTGAACTGCTTGTTGAATGGTTAGGTTAAAGCAGTTTGGTCATAAACCCTGAAAAGTTCCTTTCTTTAACTGCACACTGTGGACTAAACTGTGCTTAACACACATGGACTGGTTTCACTCGGTCACTTGTGTAAGCCGTGTCCCCCTAAGGTCTGTAAGTGACCAAATGAAAGTCCTATTTCCCTTAGATTTCTAGCCTCGGGAAAAAGAACCCTCTACTGGTCACTCACAGTCCCTTGGGGCACACAGATGTGACTAGTGACCTAAAATGCCAGTCCATATATGTATACTAGTGACTTCCACAGGGGTTTGTATCATTGTAACAGCCACGACTTTTGTCCACAGCCTTACAAATAGTAGGTTATACCAGCACAGCAGTGACTTGTTATCAAGTATTTAAAGCACAGACAAAAAAAAACCCAGTTAGGTAATGTACTTACGTCATGCATGGGTCCCCTTTTGGCGATATTCTCGTAAAGTCTAGGTGCCCAGATGCATCCAAGAACAAAATAAATCAGCGTCAGTAGCTCATAGAAGCCAAGCAGCCCTGCCAGGAAGAGTGATCATAGAGAAACACAACACAAGTGAGGAAATGGTAAACAGCGAAGTATTATGGGAAAGCGTGAAACATTTCGCCACGTTAACAACTTGCTCACATATGGCGGGCAGTAGCTGATGGTTTGGGCAATGTTGGAAATAACACCTCTGCCTATGAAAGTCATTGGCTAGTGGCTTAATTCACTTCCCACAGTTGTGTTTTACTTCTCCCGGCAATGGCCCAAATCTACAGACACAGTACAACGAGATGTGGGTTAGGACACAGAGAACAACCAAAGGGGATCAGCAGCAAACTATGCCCTCAGATTTACAGTGTCTTCCTGACGCATTTAAAATTTCAAAGCATCCGACACTTCGCATGGCATAATCCATAAGAGCATCGGCATGAACGCTGTAAAGTGGGGTGAAATGAAAGAGCATGCTTTGTTTTATAAACATTTTTAGGCAAGAATTGGAATCCATTTTGTTGTTAAAAAGTGCATTGACCTATCCTTTTCTTCTGCCCCTTTCTGACTGTAAACTGGAATAGAATTGAAAATTGCATATGGTATGCATGACAGCCTGGTGTATGGAATAATTGACATTTTCGGCTGTCTCAGAAAAACAAGCATTCTGCAAGAAACGCATGTCTGATTTTCTTAAAATTGGTGTCAAAATGAAGACATTTATCCATGTTGATTCTGCTCAGCTTGGTAATTTTTAATTTTTTTCTGTTTTCAAAATTCTTTAGAAATTGATAACTTCATTTACTTGACGTTTACACCCACACAAATGACTGGTGGCTTCTCTAATCTGACAGACAACATTTATTGACGCCCAAGTATTTCAGCAAGGCCTGCCGCTTTGTAGAAAGAGCCCAGATTGTGCAGTGTTATGTAAGTTTCTTTTGTTCTCGAAACCCGCACAGTGCACTGCTGGTGTCTTTTCAATAGGGGTCAGATTAGTGTGCAGTGGTATTGTATCACTCATCCCTGGAGTGCTGGAGCACTTTTGTCCCCGGTGGTAATCCACTTGCAGTGAATGCCACAAACAGTGGTATAATCTTTCAAAACACGGATTCCCTCCGCTACTGACAACTGAAAAAATGTTGGCAATTCCCAGCAGCTCAGTCTTTTGTACCAAGTTTGTTTTTTGTTACAAGGCAAAGCTCTTTTGTCCAGCTTCGGCTCCCCAGCTTCGTGTATAAAGCCTATGTCCCCAAAACCGGGTACCCGGGGGCACAAGAAAGTGGTTAAGGGAAGGCTTAGTACAATATTTACAAAAAACCAATGCAGCAATATCCCAGAAAATGTTGACAGGGGTAGATTCCATCCACTCCCAGCCCCCTCCCTGTTGGAGAGCACTCGCCATGTAATACCTGTTTCCTCACAGCCGAAGTGATTCACGGTCTCCCCATGGGAATCAGCATTGAAGAAATGCAGGACAAAGTCCACCGTGGACAGCTGGGTGGGGGGCGGGGCCTTACTGCAGGTGTACACGTCTGCGTAGAGGGCATGCAGCACTACGGGCTTCCTCAGGTCCTTGAGGGAGTGGTTACCGGCTTTGCTGGTAAGCATCACTGCAAAGGTAACAAGGAATAAACAATGGTGTTATTGGGGTAGAACTCGCACTCAAGTTCATGCTGGTATGGTGGAAATGTACTCGACTACCGCCACAGTGCTGTAGTGCTCATATAAATAATTGTGTTTATACAAAACTCACATACCAAAGTAACTTCAGTAATACCTGAACTCCTGAGCAATGTACTCCACAGCAAGAGTGGAAGTCGGCATGTGTGTTCGTGCTTTATTCCATCTAATGGCCCTACAGATCTTGATCGTAAGTGATTTTTCCTAAAGCAGATGGCATGAACTTTCAATGTAGAAGTACTCTGTTTGTCATTAGGAAGCTTAGTTTTGCCCATGCCCCAGCTATGAATAAGCACTCTTGGCAAACGGTCTACGAAAAGACATTTTTTTGTTGCCCCCGCTGGCGAAAATTTGACATTTTGAAAATATGCTTCTCCAACGATTGGCAATATCCTGTCCAAAACATGAGCAAGCTCTCAGTCTACAAACTCAAATACTAGGCATGAAAAAAAATGCATCGCGATGACATAAGAAAGACCACCTGTGTGAAATCCCTTTACAGTGTTAGGGAACCCGAGGCGATAGATCCTGAGTCAGTTTGCTCACCGACATGTTCTGCCACTGCCAGCCTGCCCGCGCAGTCGATCCCTCCATCCTCCGCCCGCTTGACCAAGCCCTGGTCCCACTGCTCAGCCGTGTATAGGAACAGCTTGCCTGAGAAGGGCGAGTCGTCTGGTCGGCTGTGCTCTATTCTGCCTGCCTGACCTGGTTGACAGGGGAAAACTTTCAGTCCTTCTCTTCGAGGAGAAGGAAGACCTCTTCGAAAAGACCTTCTCTTCGAAAAACTGTTCAGAAATTAAACCTACCAATGATCAAACCCCCACCCTACTGCAAAAGGTGATTGTTCAAAGCATCAAATCAGATCCCTATGATGATTAGCCTACCCTACCGGTAGGCTAATCATGATAGGGATCAACTTTGATTCATTTTGAATCTTCCAATACACTGTAGTTAATAGCTCCAAACTTTGGAGACTTGTGGTGCAGTCACTCACCTGAAAAACAAAACTTGCCAATGTACTGCCCATTGGTTTTAGCTGCATTGGCCGGGTCAAACCGCCCCCTGACCGTCTTGGACTCACACAGCGGCAACAAGACCAGCAGAAGTGCGCAGCATGATGGAAGCATGACGGACAGCAGCTTGGACGAAAGGATGGGCTGGTCAAAGCAAGACCTTGGGAAGAACAGGAAAGAATGTGGAAGTTCAAACTCACGACTGCATGCAGCTCTTTACAAAACAAACTTCCCTAACTTCCCTAAATACCCACCGCACAAGGTCCCAAGCATGTCCCAAATATTTCACTAGGCAGGTTTACTAAATCACATTCAGATTTGAAATGAGGCATCATGCACCATACGCTAAAGCCAAATCATTTCACATCAGCTCACTTGATTGTTGGAAAGTATATTATGTCCCATTCTTAAAAAGATCCTTTATTCAGTAGCATAGCGAGCATGACTCCTGCTGCAGAGAATCATTCATTAATACAAAAACTGAGACTAGGCACCAGATGTTTCGCTTGAATACAGTGCAGATAAAGTACTAAGCTTAATGCATGTGCAGGCGTATTTTCTTGTCAATTGCATGTTTTCACCACCATTTGTTTTGGGTCAATAGTCTTCATACCCTGCAATTAGTCGCATTTGCCGATGAAATACAGTAATGAATGTGGTCCAGCTCCAGTCCTCAGTAACGATATGCGTCAAACCGAGAGAAGAATTTGTCATCGGAGGTTGTTGGGCGTGGCAATTACTTTTGAAGTTTCTCTGAAAATCATCTATTTACCGACCAAAAATTGTACAGAAAAGATGAGTAGATGTATACATGTAGATAGACTCTTAGCCTTAATCTGATGTGTCTCGACAAACACTATACTATGCTTAAATGCCTTAGGCTCAATCTGGAGAATTGTTGCTACAATTTATTATTTTTTTCAGTGTGCAGTGGGCCTATTCAGGTGTTTTGGACTGAACGGACCCACTAACTGGGGTGGTAGAATTCCTTTTTTGAAATATTGGGCTTAACCAACTTCATAATTCAAAAATTGCAATTCTACTGTCCCAGTTAGTGGGTCTAGTGGTATTTAAGGAAAGAATTCCATATGTGTGTATATACGGACGCCACTAATTTTTCCCTTTAGTGGCCTAGTATTACATGTACATGTAGCTATCTGAAAGCAATAAAATGTCCTAAAATGTCAAAACTTAAATTTATCAGTGAAAATACTGTATATGTAGATGTCTGTTTTGGGTGCGATTAGTCAACATGTGCAATCACTCTAATCTTTGTCATGTTTGTGTGATCGGTTGATCTGACTGCACAATTTGTTGATAATTCCATTGTATGATCATCAGTTTATTTCTAATTCACAGTTGAGAAAGCTTGTTTCTGAAAAGGGAAGTAAACTTGGAGATTTCAAGATATTAATCGACTAATCATGTAGAGCAATCATGCGATCGAGTAGATCAGCCAATCGTAAAGTCTTGTTGCAAAACCGGGGATTGTTGCCGGACAGACATCAGTGTTGTAACGAGTCACTAAATTTGGTGACTCAAATCGAGTTATTTTAACATTGTAGGTCAAGAAGTCAAGTTGAGTTACTTTGTGTAGTCGAATCGAGTCAAGTACCGAGCTCAAGTCAATTTGAGTCACAAATTTGTGAACAAAATATAACAAAAATACAAATACATGTAAGTCATTTTTTGGTGTTTTCATTTTCATTTAGACATACTGAAAATAAAACGTCATTTTAGTGCATTTTCAAATCTCTTTCCACTGACCAGTAGGCCTAGGCCTACTTTATTTTCATGAGGCCTACTCGCACTTCAAAATTTCATTTCACATAGGCCCTAGGGCGTACACGTACCTACATGTACATCATATACATCATGCTTTGTGATCTTCACGGTCTTTGCATTCGAATCGAATTTGGACAAAGCAGGTGCGATATGTTTTACATGTTTTGTGTTCTAAAAGAGGCCATCGGCCACATTTACCTTACTGTTTCACACTGACGTTAGAAACTTCACCAGATGGACACATTTAGGTTGAGTTGAACAGCCGGCGCGCAGAACACACGTCATGCACGTCAAAAGGATTCTCAGACGTCGACGTGTTGCATGAAGAGCGACACCAATAGACAGGTGGGGGAACTACCCAACTGCACCGGCCCTGCGCCTGCTTGCCCTGTGTCCAGGTGCCTACACCGCAGGTCTCAAAACGACGACGTTAGTGCTAGAAAATTGTACAAATAGGCCTACTGTAAAATTGTATGGCTGATGGGAAAAAAGGTAAATTTGTACCAAAGATCGTATCCCCGCATCCTAAATCGCCCTTTTTAACATTTGGACATGTTAAAAAAGGCGATTAAGGCGGGTCCAGGTTACTCGGACTAAGCTAGGGTGTACATGTAGTTTTGACAGGATTTGAATGTCAGCAATGGTCATGATGGTACTAGGCCCAGGCCAGTCGGCCTAATGTTATACCAGGATATTGTAAGACTTGCATAAATCCCTTTTCCTCTTTTTACGTAAATTAACTAAGATGAACTAAAAAAAAACCTAAACTAAGATTCAAGGCACTGAAGACTCTCCAGTTAGTTCATGTAAAAAGTATGTAGGCCTAATGTACATGATAAGATGATCTAAGCAGAGAGGTAGGCATATGGAAAGTAAGGATTGTTAATGTTATTAGAATTCATTAAATTTAATTAAATCTGTACTGTTAACTTGAATTGGAATTTAGCAGCTATTATTCTGGAGAACAACTAATGTTATCATGACTGCTTTATTGTCTGCCTTATTTACATGAATGTAGAACCCCTGTGACCTGATGATGTTACATTGATGGAAATTTGGTGAAACACGCAATTTAATGCACATTATATTTAGTGCTTCATTTATAAAGTATTTCATTTTTCTGTTTAGCCGTCAACCAGGAAAAGATAGTATGGAAAAGCACTGGGTGGAGGACTTGTTCCCTCCATTTTACACTTACACCTTGGACCAAGATGAGAATGTTGGGACAACCAGCCCATCTCATCAGGCGGAGGTTGAGGAGAAGGATGACAATGGAGAGGACCTGCAGCGGATCCAGAGGCTGTATGACAGGGTACGGATCCAGCTGAATCACAAGCACAAGGAATCACGGCAGAAGTGCATTCAGGTGGGTGATCAGCCCAGCACAGGGATATATGTTTTCCTCAACCTTTACACCTCTTAGGCCATGTGAAAGAAAAAATAGTTCCTAGTCTAAGTTAATGGAGGACTGGAGGAGGTGTTTTTTTGTAAAATGGCCAGTTTCCCAAGGCAGCAGATAGATTCTCCAAATTTGCTCAATTTTTTCCCAATACTTGTGTCTTTAAAGGAACTGTCTTCTTAAAAGTTTTCAGACTTGCATGTCTACCTACATGTACCTATCCCCTTTCTTGTACACTGTATTCTGTGGGCGTTTCATGGTACAGTACACCACCAAGAGGTAGCCATAGACAGGCCATGATTTTTCAAATTTACAGTTGACAAAAGCATGGCCAACTTGCTGCTATCGCATTTGAGCGTGTCTGTAGACAACTTGGGAACATTTGTGATATAGATTCGGACATTCCTACAATAGAAAGAAGAGGGGATTAATTAAAACCGGCCTTTATTTCTGCTACATGTACTACTACACTTACGAATCTTCTTCCCTGATAAACAGAAATAGGTCAAGTTCCCTGTGCATACCAAGGATTTCCCACAATGCTCTAAGAAAAGTTGCCTCACTGTGGCAACCTGTCGTTGGTGTGCTGTATTGTAAGTCAACCAATCTGGGTTGAGTCTTATTTCAGAGAGACTGGAGCACACTGAATTCGGGACAAAATACAGGATTTTCAAGGGTTTGAGAGGAGCACTATCTGATTCTGAATCCTGAAAAATCTTTGAGGTTTTTGCCTTGTTTTTACTTAATTGGAGTTTGGTATAATTGTTCTTTCTTTAATAGGTAGGAGAGCCTTTGGCAGAACACCTTCCACCACAATCACCAAGCAGTGGGTGTGCCAAAACATCCAAAGAGAAAAGGAAGACCCCTTCCAAGACGGAAGAGGATGAGTGCCTCTGGACAGCTAAGGAGCTGCAGATTCTTCGCACAGCGGCAGAGGCAGCGAAGCAGGAAAATGCCCGCCTCAATGCAGAGCTCAGCATCACAGGCAAGCAGAAAGAGAAGCTCGCTCGCAGATGTAAGCAGCAGTCAGCAGCCCTTGAAGCCAAGGATGCAGAGCTCCTGGAGAGAAAGCAGGAGACGGAGAGGTTATCCCTCTGCTGCCACCATTTAGAGACAGAACTAGGGCACTCCAGAATGACTGTGAAGTTTCTGGAAGAAGACATTGGCGAGCTACGGGACAGCAAGCGCAGACTCAAGAAACAGCTGAAGGATGCAGAGAGAGAGCTGAGTGAGCTGCGGCTAGAGCAAGCGAAGCTCCAGGACAAACTCCTGCAGGTCAAAAAGGGCAATGCCCTGGAGAGCATCGTGAGGGAGGACGGTATCAGACTCGACTACGAGAGGCAGATCAAGAGGTTGTATGAGGAGTTAGAGGAAACCAGGACGAAACTGGAAAAGCAGAAGAAAGAAAACGGCACCATGAGAAAAGCACTGGATCACCTTAGAATTCACTTTGCTAGCCTTCCCTCCAGCAACCTCCAGCAATCTAAGTTACCAGATGAGGGTACTGAACTTAGACAGCTGGAGCTGTTCTAGGTTTGGTCATCACGAGAAGAAAAAAAAACAAGCACCATTGCGTGCAATCAAATTTGAATATTTCATACGTTCAGAAACAGCCATTTTTGTAAACTACAGTATTGTCAGAAAAGGTATGAAGGGAGTTCCCAAATCTTAGACTTTCGTAAACCAGAGACATGTGCTTTATGTACAGCTATTTATTTACGATGAAAGAAACACCACAAAATAAAGAAACACATTCAACGGTCACTTCACTTTGTTCCGATAAAGTGATAGTTTCAAATTTATTTCCATGAAAAAGTAACAGGCCCACTGAAGAAGTTGTTAGGGTGCATTGATAACATACACATTAATTTGAAGATAAGCCATCATGATTTTCCTGTCTCTTGAGAAAAGAACGTAACTCAAGCTGTGCTGTAAGATGTCTCATTTGCAGTGCCTGAATAAATCCTGAGAACTTGATATGGGTAATATGATCACATTTTGTGACATTAGATGTATTCATTCCAATGTAAAGTTCACCTACACTGCAAAAAATAGAACATTAAAATGGAACGTTCTACTCTACGTTAATAAGAAATTAATTATCTCATAGCTGATTCAGGGATTTATTCAGGCATGCTTTAACACAGTGTATCACATTCGTACATTGTGCACTTACAGACATTAATTTCCATTGTTTGTATATCACTCGACCAGTTTTTAGTACAAGTGGCTCACATTACACTTTGCCACCAAGAGTTTATCACCGAGAGGCAAGTCTGGCTATGGATTATGGGAAAATAAGCCAACATTCAACATTCCAAAGCTTGAATATTAAGTGCAGCAGCTTTGCTTAGAAACACTTGATGTACATGTATGTAAGTTGAAATTTGAGTTTCTTTGGAAAACAAGGTGAGTTTACTTAAAACAGTTGTAATTTGGGCCAAGTATGTAAATGTTAGGTGCGATTGACCGATCGGCATAATCGCCTGGTCACTCTGCATGATCGACCGATTCTGCATGAAATCTCCAGCTTAACTTCCCTTTTTGAATCACTGTTTGACAACTGTGAATAAGACAGAGCGAGCGATTGGCCGATGGTAGAATTATCAACAAATCAAGCAGTAAGATCAAGGGACTGCACATATACAGACTGATTGCACCAAACAGAAACCATGCAAGGGTGGATAATGAATGGAAGGATTGTACAGGAAGATGGTAACCATTTAAAAGGTTGATCAAACGCTTAGTGACGACTGCATTGTGAACCACTTGGACTGCCACAGAGGCAACCAGCTTCAAATCTGTACAATAAATGCACTCATTTCTGATTTTGGTTTATGTCAAATTTGGTGAGAGTTATTTTGTTTTTAAATCTTATTGTGAAACTTGCATGAAAAATTCGTGACGAGATATGTTCATGAACATTTACATGTACGTTCAACTCCATGGAAATACTTGGAAATATATCCTGCATCAAAATCTTAAACCAGTCTCTTTCAGGATAAATGTGTATCCATGCTGTGCAGTTCACCCATCAGTTTTGTCACACAATTCTAGCTCACTTGGTACAGGTATTTACAAAAGCAGGCTGAACTTGGCTTTCTGGGAAGCAGGGCCTCTTCTCCCTGCATGAAGAGCAGATTGCACTGCCTGGCAGACCACTCTGTGAGAGCTCAAGCAAACAGACATGCATGTTCCTCTGGCCCAGTACTGACCTAGTCAATTACCCTTGCATGCCGAAATACTGCATTGCTACATGTAAATGGATCATTTCATAAACTTCAGGTCCGTTTCATATTTTCTGTCACAAATACACCTAACGTGTAATTTGACAAGGGGATATGTCACTGAACTTGACTTCAATGTATTTTTACCTGTTTACAATTTCTTAATCCCTCTTTGGAAATGGAAATTGGAAATAAAGAATGTGCTCTCAACTTTAATATAAAATCAGTTGACAGATGTACATGTAACAGGGACAGGAAAGGAATTTAGTGGACCTCAAATTTACAGAATGACCCAAATGCATCTTGAGCCAAGACTGGAACTCATGACATCAACATGCGTGGGCTGGTTTACATGTATGCATATTGTATGGTGTCTGCTTCATTCACAGCCAGTGACAAACACACGCAGAGAGGCTTGGTTGACAATAACGGAAAGAACACAATGAATCCAGGTCCCACATGAATGCTGTACAGGTATACATGTGTGTATATTACAGATGTGTGAAACTGCACGTGATTGTGCACACTCCACGCAAGATGCATACAAACAACCACACGCTCACACTGTGCCATTCCCATGGAAATCCGGGCTCGTTGATGCGTGATGCCCGTGCATACTGAACCACCAGTTTTCATCTGAATGTGCACAAATACCACCAGTTTCCATCTGAATGTACAGAAGCGTGTATGGTCTGTGCTTGGCCACTAGCTCATCATTTCAACTGACACTGGTTTCAGTTATATGAACATGGGTCCACAGGGTGCATGTCAGAACTACGATTGAACTTGACATGCTGTACGTGTATATGTGCATGCATGTTGCCTGCTCTGTGCTTAACAAAGCAATATGCGTGTAGTTCCTACACCAGCAGCTGACATAAACCCAGTCAACATGGTTCATATGGTTCACACCAGTAGGCCACTGTGGTGCTGCTCACATGTGACCATGCTACATAACTTTTTCATTGAATTATTTTTGCCCTCTTTCATTTTCTTCCCAAAACATGCTTGACTTTATTTACACTGGCCTTCTTTATTTTCAAACATGATATCCTTGAATTCTTTAACACATATGTGCAACAAACTCTATAAAAGGCCTTTTCTAAAACAATATTACCTGTATAACGTTTTTGAACGAAGCCTAGAGAAAAAAATTAACTTTCCTAGAACAGTTAGCCAAAAGGAACACAATCGCAAGAAAATCTGAAAATCAGATATTCAGGAAACAATAATTAAAGTAAATAATTTAATTACTAGTGCCTGCTAGCAAAATGCACATGGTTTATGAAGCATGTTAAAGACCTACATGTACAATGTATGTTAACTCAATAATGCCAGTTACCATCAGTGCAGTGCCGTGGCCTTGCCATTGTCATTTTTAATACCTCCAACACTTTATACACATACTTGGGAGCCCATTTCATAGAATTGACAAGCGTAGACATTCATGTGGCACATCAGAACATGCACTTGCCAGACTGTGCTTCATAGCAGTATGTTTCTCGACCAAAATTCATGTAATATGCAGCCTGCCCCCCCAAGGTACGAGCAGTTTTATAACCTATATGGTTTTATAGATGACACTTTTGGTTTGATTTTATATCATCATACTTGTATTTGCCATTGGTGATCCGGATACATGCCCAGCAAATGCAAGCAAGTCAGCTTGTGCAACTTTCAAGTCTGATCACAAGACCTACATCAAATCGCAAAATGCACACTTCACCTTTACATTTTAATTTTGACAGGCATGCTACTGAGTATTCCTCTTTATAAAGGTGGCCAAAACTCAGTTTTGATTTCATGCGCTAAACTTACATACCAAGTGTGGACTTGTGAACAAAAGATGTCCACACATGCAGGAAAGGAGGAAGGTCTGTGGACTTACACATGTCCACAGGACATTTCCCCTTCTCTGAAAAAGAAGATTAGAGGCATTTTGGGGTAGGGGTCATCATTCGTAAAAGGAAGAGGAATAGTCAAGGAAACCTTGTACAAAAAACCAACTGAAAATCATGTTTCCAGTCCAAGAAGAACGAGTATTTTCTCTGAGTTTTCTTAACTGCACAAAAAGAAAGGAATGTCGACACTAGGTATGTAAGGTAAGTGTGTGTCTGTTTACCGGAACATATCTCTGGATTGCTGAAAGCAAATAAGATAGAATAGAAAGCATCGTCATGCCACAAGTAATCTCTTTAAAACCCACACAAGTTATAAATACCGCCAGTTGACATTTCATGTTTAAAACAGACAGTGTTGGCTTTCACCTTTTTTTGGGGGGGGGGACCACATGATGCTGCTTCTGATTAGTTCCCAGCTAAATTTTGCTTAGAGCCGGATGGCATAAATCCACAATGACAATTTCTGCCAAACCTCACCATGCAGTTGTGCCCAGATCCATGTTAGTTAATCAAGAGATATTGATTGTAAGCATTCCCTTACACTGCTTGCGACGAGTGGAGAACTCATCCATGCAAGCATGCATATTAGTCAATTTCCAGCTGTGTTTGCACAACTGTGACCGAGGCATATCAAATACATGTACAGTCGAACCTCATTAATATGAGGTCCTTCGGACTTGGCAAATTACCTTGTTATAACAGGAACTTTGTAGTGTCAGGAATAAAAACAATGAAAAACAAAGGATTGGGACCTAAAAATTTCCTTGTTATCAGCAGAATCTTGTATTAACGAGGTTTGACTGTATATGCACACGTGAGTGGATGCCTTTCATACAAGTGGCTCAATTCAGATCAAAACAGTATTTCTTTTTTGAGTGGTGTCCTGGACAGGACCGTATTCCAACTGCACATGAGCAGCCCCCACCTGCACTCTTGGCTATTGCTACACGATTTATGTGCTGTACACATATATGCACGAGGACAAACTCACGGAGGGTACTAGTGAAATTGAAGGAAGTATGTACGAAATTCCCCTGGCCTTCTTCTGCTGAGGGTATTTTTTTTTCAATGCTCAAGCTTTGTGCCCTTCCATCTTTTCTCTCTGGGAAGGTGGAAATTTATGACCAAAAACAGCAGATTACAGATTCAATTATTATCACCCCTGTCCTGCCTAAGAAATGTCTGCAGTGAAATGGTATCCGCTCATACTGATGATAACCATCTCAACGGCCAATTCTGCAATAACGATTTTTTGCTACATGGCATCCCATAGATCTTTGTACATGCAACCCCTGTGATTCATCCCAACAGAAAAAAAAATCAGTGAGTCTTGGCACCTGCCTATTAAGCTCATGCACCACTGGAATACAGAGCTGGCTCTACCAAATCCCAGGTATTATATCGGTCAATTTTAAAACCTGTGTCTTTTAAACTGTTCACTATTCCCTCCAGGCAATGTTACATTTCTAAAGTATTGCTGGTGAAAGCTACGAGTCCAAGGACAAAAAAAAACACTTCAGAATACAACACTGTTGCACAGAGGTAACATTCACGATAGTAAAATATGAACACAGAATCTATTTTGTAAAGACTAAAACAAAATTACAGATTTTACAGAGATTATTAAAGATCCTAGAGTTATTAATATAAAATTATATAGAAACCCATTATAAAAACTGCATTAATATGCTCTAATTGCTCGCTCAGTGCTTTTTTGACATACACACAATTCACCTCTACATGTATTTCAGTACCATTCCTATCAGTTGTCGATTCAGTACTGTGCCGTCCTTAGGGTTGAGTTGATTGCAAAAAAGGATGAATTGTGAATGGGGCTTCCATAAAAATGGAACAATAACTGTCTTGCAAATATTGTGATGACATCTGAAAAGGGGCTGAACCAACAAGCAACTCTAACAGATTTCGCCATTACACCTCACACTTCCCATTTGCAGTTCACCTTTCGGATGAAAACACCATCCTTGCCTATTCACAACCGACAATGCTAATAAAGTACTGATACAAAATCTGGCTATACTGTGGGTTTAACAAGGCATGTATGCCATGTCATACCGGGTGCACGTGGGATGCACCTGTGGAAACATGACCACCGTAACTCACAGAGCTACATGTAGATACATGTACATGTATAGAATTACTAGAGTGCTGCCTCGCTGTGCAAAGTGAAGCCTGCGGGGCTCATCCATGTTTGAGCACAAACCAACGGGAAAATGTAAATTCCGAACCGCTTTTGTACAGTGCTTTGCATATCTGCATCTGTGTTTTAAAACGATCGGTCATGGCTAGCAAATGACTGTTTAGTTTTGCTTGATGTACACATAAACAACTAAAACATGGGCATATATGCGCTTTGAATTCTAAATCAAATGACAGAAAAGAGGCTACATGTGTTATTTAAGAATTCTGTACTTACGTGTACTTGCACATAATTAGGAATTCATTCCAAATTATGGCATCATGTACGATAGAAACACGCATGAATTTAAAATGTCTGTGTCAAGGGGCCTTCCAAGTTTCTCCATGTACAGAATTTAACAAGGTAGCACTCTAGTACTATATAGCTCTATGATGGAACTGTACATACATGTACTTGAGATTTGCTGATTAAATTTGTCAAAATTCAATACATGTAATTTCCTCTTTAGGATTGCTAACAATGGAGGACATTTGCTGAACATTTTTGTTTGTGAGTGGTCCGGTGCAAATGTTGTCGAGCATGTGCCAACCCTACATACCTAGTGTGGACCCGTGAATAAAGGAGATCCACATAATGAAGGTTGTGTGAACCTTGTCGGGACCAAGCCAGGTCCTAGCAAGGTTATCTCCTTTCTGAAAAAAAAGTTTTAAAGGCATTTGGAGGACATCCATAGTATAAAGAAGAACAGCCAAGGAAAGCATTAAAATCCAGCTTACAAGAATGCTCCAAGTACAAGAAAAAAGAAGAATTCCCACTGGGTTTTTCTAACCTCCATGAAAACAAAGGTATGTCCACACTAGGTACATAACGTATGTGTTGTGGCACAATGCTAAACTAAGTTAGGACTCTCAAAATACAATGTGTCTGAAAAAGGCAACCACAAACTGTTTGAGGAAAAAACTGTGCACCTAACACTGCTCCTTTCAACCAAAACCGTTTTGTGTGGAATATGCACGTGTGCGAAATCAAGAGTGAATACATTTACAGAGAAGCCGTCCGTCTGGTACACATGTACTGCCGGTGAATTAAAAGAATGGTTGGAAAGTTCATGTTAAATGCATGTTAAACACAGTAACTGCCGAAACGTTTAATAAACTGGTCTCTTTAAGGCAAAGTCTTGGAGCACAGTGCATCCTGCATTGTACCAACTGTTGCATTTCGTTTTCAGTTGAGACAGAAACGTTATTAAATATAAAGCAACTTAACCTTGACCCCCTTACCGCAGGTCCCTAGAAAGTAAAATAGAGTCATGCTAGATCAGAAATGATCTGGGTCAGTGGCATAACCAGGGGAGGGGACTGCTGCGGGGGGCAACACAGGATGCACATAATTATTTTCATGTACATGTATGCAGTGGAAGTGAACAAGTTAGCTTGGATAATATATTGTTAAATTTCAACATTTCAAAGGGGAGGGTGGGCATGGACATCCCCCGAGGGGCATAGACCCCCCACTGTGCCCCACTCCCATAGTTGCGTCACAGGTTATGGCTACTCTACTGAGCCAATGTGTCAACATTTGTTGTTTCGATTTTCAAACAAGGTCCGCATATAAATTTTAAGATTAAAAAATAGTCAATTTTACAAAAACCTCTTATTTGGGTTTTTTTTTAATCCTTGGTTAGTTAAAATATGCCACGCATTGTTCTTGGGATTGAACAGTGCATTTGTGAGTCTTTCAATGCAAAAATCACGAATCTGAGTTCCCAGCTGAAATTGGTATAAAGTAAGATATGGGCACAGGAAAAGCTACCTTTCGCATTAACCTTTTGCATCAGTGACAACTTTTATATTTCATGAGGCCTATATTTTGAAAGTGCATCAAGGCATGGGGGGGCGCTGGGTTAAGCTACTCAGAGGGCCATAATCTGCCTAGAGCAGAAGCACTGCCTCATCAGTTGAAAAGAGCCATGTTGGTGGGGAGTGTTCATTTGGTAGGTATCCACGCAACTGTAACGTGTGCATTTCATAGTCATTTGTGAACCAGTGAAGTTGTCACCAAAGAAGCCTTCGTTGCTAGGAACCTTGTGCCCTCTCTTGGTTCCGCTCGGGGCGGATAGCAGGTGGGAGCTCAAATTTGTTGCCTGCTGGTACGATGCCAAAGGCATTTGTTTTTGCTTCGTCCATCTGATGTCAGTAATCAGATGACTTTTCTGAAATTTACATGTAGGTGATATGAAACAGATTGGCCCTAGTGTACACAACAATTGGTTGTATGCGAACTAGTCTGGTGACAATACATGCATCATTGAGATGCAAACTAGTCGCATATTAATTCACATGTGACTTCACATTGGCCATTTAAATACATCTATTACACTCCAGAGTTTCTCTGCTTGTTTGAAAACCAAAAACTGCAAGAGTGGCAGCTTTTTGCAATACAGACCAGTGTGTGTTAATACAAAAACACAAATTGGCCAGCACTGACGAGCTAGTGCTTGTCTAAGCAAACCTTGTGAGCACCAGGTCATGCATAGTCTCTAAGGGCACATAGGCATGCACTAGTTCCCCCAGTGCCGGGCAACATATTGTATGTATAATAAGGCATAGTTTGAACATGATAGACCAATGGGTCACAACAATATCCATTCTTCTGCAAACACGCTTACACCGCACATTGCTCAACTTTGATCCCGCAATTAATCTTTGGAAAAATACATATTTGCTCGGAATCTTCTTAAAACAGAAGCACAGGAAGTTTGTTCTCAAAGTGTAGTTTACTGTTTTGTTTTTTCCTCTTGAGAAAAGTGACCTTGCCCTTTGCAAACAGAGCAGCGAGAAATAATATTTAATTTCCGGAGTTGTAATCTTGAGTTAAACTTGCTTCTCTTTTTTTATAAACTACTTTTAGAGGATCTTTTGTGTGCAATATTATCTTTATCTTTGGTGATCTTGAGGGTGATAATGAATAACATCATGCCAAACTTTTCCAAAGCGCCTCATTTGTAAATCTTAGTTCTGCCACTATCTTATCCAAATGCTACTCAAGGACACAGCCAGGTAAGACTTTGCCAAGTCCAAATGTCTACAGGCAGCAGATACCCGCCTTAATTTTAGCTTCATCCGGTTTTATCCAGTTTCATCCAGTCACGTATCTCAGATCACATGAGACTTGAGTTTAAGCACCCAAGCAGTTTTGACCGGATACAAGACGATAAACCCTGATCTGAATAACAAGAACGGTACGGTCGGTAATTAAAAGTGCTCTTCGTTAAGAAATCTGCAGACTGTCTACACTCAGTAACTCCACAATCTCTGCATTTCTGTTTGAACACTTCAGACAGAGCCACCCAGCTGTGACCATACCTAAGCCTGCAGTTTATACTCTTCGCAGATTTCCCATCACAGTTTGGTCGACAAAGGAAGGGGGGGCCAACCTGATGGGGAAGGGCCCGTGCGTAGTCTAGCAGTGGTGACCGAATCCGTGGTGACCAAATCCGTGGTGGTGGTGGTGTCCGAAAGCACCGTGGTGGCCAAATCCGTGATGGTGATGGTGGTGGTGACTGCCCGCCAGTGCGGCCCCAGCTAAGAAGCCCAGACCGGCACTGGTACCAGGGCTCGGCTAGTGGTTTCACACAAGAAAAACCGATGAAGGTAAAAACTGTTATGAACCATTTAACATCAATATGCAATTCAGTGACTCACTGTCTTAAGATCTATAGGGTGATCTCAACGACCAACATGACCCAATACACATCCACCATTGTTCTAAGCAAGGATGACTAGTTAATGCAATAAGAATCCAACTGGCAGTTAGCCCTGTGCTGCAGACCACTGCGTGGTTAACATTCAAAGAAGCAATGCATGGTAGCACTAGTTAGATTTAAATTAACTGTGCCTGTGGAAATGAGTGCCTCACCCCCGGATTGGCCACATATACTGTCCGAGTGGGCTGGACAACGGTCAGGTTGGACACTGGCTGCTGCGGGGGAGGATGGATGTACGTAGGTTGGTTGGGGTTGTACGCCTGCAACAAACGGGACAACAGTCCAATCTGTATAAGCTTGAAAGACAGTGCCTTGGTTTGTCTGAAAGACTTCTGGTCAATCACATGTCAAACCAAAAACAAGTCTATAACAAGTCCATCATAAGTCAATCTCTAACCAATCACAAGCCCATCACAAGACAATCTCAAACAAATCACAAGTCTGTCACAACTCAATCTCAAACCAATCACAAGTCCATCACAAGACAATCTCAAACCAATCTCAAGTCCATCACAAGACAATCTCAAACCAATCACAAGTCCATCATACATGTAGTTCAATCTCAAACCAATCACAAGTCAATCTCAAACCAATTACAAGTTCATCTTGTCCAACTAAAGTCAATCGTGTCACTCCCAAATCAGTCACAAGTCAATCACCAGTTACATGTAATAGACTGATCCAGTAAGCCCCGCCCAATGTGCATGTGGGCACTTAACACATGTTCTTCTTCAATGCCATACTACACATTCCAGCGGTAAGCATCATAATGTACGTGCACTCAAGTCAGACTTTTGGGCACGCATGTCAGACATAAATCACGGCTGTGATTGGCCAGAACACAATGGGATGCGGCTTAATGTGTCGGTCCATTACATGTAAATAACACGCCGATCACAATCCAAGCACAAGCCACTGGATTTCTGGTTAACTTGAAACAGGATGGCTTGTCGTGGTCTTTCAGAGACTCGACAACTGCTGTGTTTACTGTTTAGTTCTCAATGTGTCAGCTTACCCCTGATGCATTGTATGGGACCGCAGCCTGGGTTATGTATGCTGGGGCTGGGGGAGGGGCGGAACTGTAAGCAGAATAAGCTGCAGGTGGGGGCGCAGCTTGGGCCACTGGTGGGGCTGCAGCCGCGGCATAGTGACCTGTGTACAAATCAAAGGGCAAACCCCAGAGAGTGGTTATTATAGTAAACAAAATATCACATTGCACGTCACCACATTCACTTAAGCCAACAAGGGTAATGTGTACAAGTGTTCAGCATAAGTATGCCCAATACTAATTTTAACCACGAGAGGAACAAAAGAGGGCATGCTTTCTTTGGTACTCACCGAATAGGCGTGCCATGAGGCTCGCAAGTATATGCACGTTAGACGTGGAGCACGCCAAGTAACTAATTTACTCTGTCATGTATGGTCACTGCATTTATGCAGAATGCGTACAAGAACCCACATGTAACCACCTGTCTTTCGTTTTGCCGATTGGGGGTGCACTTCAGCTCAGAGGCGGATAGGCTGCCCGTACCAGGGATGGGTTGAGTCCATCACAAGTCCAGTCACAAACCCATTCACAAGCAACAGGTTCAACAATGTGTCACAGTTCCTTTGGACAGCTTGGGACCTGCTTTAAGACTGGATGGCTTATGACTGGACTTGTGGGGACTTGCAGGAAGATTTACGATAGAGACGACTACGTCAATGTACAGCCCTAACCTGTGCTGTAGCCACTCTAAGACACTGTGGCCACCAAGCCACTCAGTTGACTACAACAGTACATGTAGGTCCTACAAACCATTTGAAGCTGCATGTGTTGTAGCTTTATATTGTTATCATGTGGCCCATCAAAATGTGAGGTTATTCAGTAAAACTGAATTTATTGAAATCATTCTTCCCACACCCTTGAAAACACAATTCAAAATCTTGACAAATATCACTCACTTGTGGGTGCATAGGCAGGTTGAGGAGATGCATACAGATTAGGGTTGAATCCAATGGGCGGAGGCTGGCCAGCATTGGTGGGGGCACTGTACGCTGCATCATAAAACACCAAGGAAGACTACGACTATACCGACTTGCATATATACATGTACATGTATATCTTTGAAAGACTCCCATACTATTCAAAAGCTTGACTTTATCCCAATAGCACTGTGCATCCTGAGAAAATTCCAGTATTTTACCCTCCGTTGCACAGGTTTCTAACAATATCAGGATCTGTATCCCGGTCAATCAACAATTTCAAGAGAACATTTTACAAAGTCAGAGACCCATTTAAAAATCTACATTAACATGTACCGTAACCAGGCTAAAAATACACTAAATAATTTCCACTTGAATTCAGACTGATTTTAACCATAGAGCTACACTGTACCCCATTTTAAGGACTTAGATTTTTTACAATTTCTTTATTTCTTCACGTTTTCAAGTACAGTAAACCCTTGATAACTCAAAGTCGGTTAACTCGGACCTCCACGTATCTCGAAGACATTCTTCATTCTCCAAAAGAATAGTCTTTCACATACAAAAATACCACGGTAACTCCAAATGCCCACACCATTACATATGCTTAACTCAGATGTTCGTAAGGGCCAATCCAAAAAGACCGCCGCTAAATAACTGATAATGAGTGGAAAAAGAACGCGGAGACTTTAAGTATGAGTCAAACTGCAGTTTGTCTTTTTGTTTGAGGACACGAGCATACTTGCTGCCAGTGCCATTTAAATCAACTCGTCCTGACCACAACCTAGTATACAAATCCCAACTTTCAAGCAAGCCTAAATGCCATCATGGCCCCACTGTAGCCCGCATATACACAGTCCAATTGTTGATTTGTTACGGTAGACATGTGACCACACTGAAGGAACTTTTGTGCATGCCGAGGCTAAAGCCTGGCTGCCACCTGCCCAATTGCTTTACTCGTGCACTGCTCACATTCTGACTGACATGCGCTCCTGGTATGGTGCTGGAAATGCTGTTTTACATTGCCAAATTTTACCGAATTTTTAAAAAAAGGAAAGGTAAGGGAATGAAAAGACTAACCAAAATACACACACATTTTTATTTTATGCTCGAATGTTTTGAAATGCAAAATGTTGCAACCTCAAGCGATTAAAGAGGAATGATCGTAAATGTGGACAAACGTGGACAGACAGAAAAACTCTAGGCCTGGCCGGCCCTGGTCCAGCGAGCAAGCACAGGGCTGTGCGCTTCATACCTCAGTGTGCACCGAACGGAAGAACAAAAAACAGCCACCACAGGTGCAAGTAGGGTTACTTGTGCATGTATGTGTGGGCAAGACTCGGGAACTTCATTAACTCGAAATCCGGATAACTCAAATTTTTGATTGATTCCCCTGAGGTTTCCCCTGACAGTTTACTGTTATGCTACACTAGATCTTCAAGCTCTCATGCTGTAACTAACCATCTTCTTGCTTATTCAAGTAAATGTAAGTTTTTTTTCTTTGTTTTATTTTGCCCCTGTACAGTGTGCATCCAACAGTGGCTTGTTAAAATCAAAAGACGCCACACTATAGAGTTCCCTGTCTTCCGTTAATGTACCATAAGAAAGATTTCAACATTCGCCCACCACCTGAGACCTGTTGTCTGAAAGCTCCAAATATTGTCCACTCCTAAATTAAAGTTTCATCATCAGGTTAAAACTTTTGGGTACTTCCCAAGTCTGATCGGGGAAGATACATGTAAGTGGTAGCCAGACGTGGGATTCTTTTGTTACTTTTTTCCCCTTTTGAACACTATGGGGAAGAAGACGCATCTGAATAACCAGGCAAAAACTTACGTGGCGGCGGCCCAGTGGGCTGATGATATGGCTGGGGTGGATAAGCTGGGTTCATCTTTCCCACTGCAAAACAAATGAAGGTAAGCAAACACACAGGTAAGCCTGGTTTCCATATCGATGTGAGCAAGGCAGAGAGCAATGCAATCAAGACGCAAACTCCAACGCGGACAAATGGGAACATGTCAAATGGAAGTGTCACCACAAGTGATACAAACACACCCGCTGGCATGACGGGCATACAACAATGTTTCTCTCGCTTAGTACCACGCATTTTATCCATTATCTCCTTATTACCAGCATATGTAGCCCCACTTGTCAACAAAATAGCTGACCATTAACAAATTACATCAAACTGGAGTCTCAGTTTGGTTTCAAGAGCCAACATTGCCACTTTTGCAAATATTTTCCCAGTTTCAGACGCCTTTCCACCTTTTTGGTGGAATTACGTTGCATAACGTCTCAACTCAAGCAAAGGTTACAAACCTTTTGATGCTCCAATAATTCTACACAAGACCCTGGAGCATGACGAAAGCAAGGCTGGGAATAGCCCTTATGTTTTAAACCGTGTACTCACCATATATACCCAGTACAGACACTGAAGGTTTACTGAGTGACCTGTACATGTATACCCATACATATACATGTATATTACCCCCAAACTGTAAATATCCCAATCGTCTAAAGTCTACAGTGCTGTAGCTGGGCTAGCCTAACTGTAGTACGTGAGCCAGTGTGAGTGTTACGCCCCAACTAAAGTGTCTGTCCCAACTGTAGCATTACAGTTGGGCTGCCACAACTACATGTATGGTCATCAAATTTCTTTCAAAACACATGTATTGCTCAACCTTCTTCAAGTCTATGCAGCTCACACCTGACATACATGCACATATAATTCATTGAAAATGTGCCACCCTGGGTGAGGACAAGTTGTTGATATGAATGAGACCATTTTAGCACGTTACGTGTATGGCACACACTGGCACTCTGTGCTGTACATTCTAGTTGGGCTAACCCAACTACAGTGTACAAAATGCCACTTTGAATCACCAACAAATGTTGCAGAATCCAGTTTTTGGTTAATGCCATATGGTGTAGATGAAATGAAAAGGTTGGCATATGTTTGATGAATTCTGTCAGGTGTGAGCCGCAAAAGCCTGGAGAATGAGAAGTTTTCGGCCGAGATGTGCTGACAATATTTGAGTCAATATATTTGGGACCGTCCAATCTACATGTACATGTACATGTATACCGGTAGTTGGGACTGATGCTCGAATTGCAGTGTAACATGTTTACAAGTTGAGCCAAGAGACCAAGGGTAACGTTAGATAAGAACTGAGGCTCTTATGCTGACAAAATCAACAAAGACAAAATTCATGTGTACAGACTTTGAAGCTCAAGTGGTTCCTTTTTCAACTTTTACTGGAAAGATTTCCATATACAACTGCAACTTGACACCCTGTGTACAAACAAACATGTGACTGGTCTGAAAATTGTTAAGTGCTTTCTAAGTGAATGTATCTCGATATTTTCACTGCTAAATTTGACTTCTAGGGCATCTTATTGCCTTCAGATGGCTAACGAGGCAATGCAGGGAAAATTTGTAGCATCCATAAATGGCATGAATGGAAGTCTTTCTTTTTGTCATTATTAGCCCTGGCCCAATACTGGACCGTTACTGGCTCAATAAATGGGGCCCAGATGCTGGGAAACCATAGCTGTATGTACCTCCACATCCTGGGCCCCACTGACAGTCTCTGACAGTGCATGAGAGACAGTGGAAAATTGATTAAAAGCGAAAAAAAAAAAAAACTTTCACTTTGCAAAAAACCTTTTAATAAAGAAAATTTCATATACAAAATTTCCAACATTTAATCTTGGAATTTATGAAGGGACAGCCAAAACATTAGCCTACGGACTTACTTGTACACCATGGGAGTAATTACATGTAGCCAACCAGCGTGACTGCTAGCCCAAGTTGGCCGTTGTCTTCATTTACACTTACAACTGACGCCCCGGGTATAAAAGTCCTCCTACAATGCGAAATTTTTTTCAACGTTTTTTTCATATTTTTACTTGAGGAAGACAGCTCAAATGTTGTCCACAAGTGCCTTGTATCCTGACTTCCATAAAGGCCGTGTTGAAATAATTACTAAACACATCCACAAACGACGTATTTTGCAGGAAATTTGGTGCAACTCCACACTTTCCGTCGTGAATGATCTACGTTCGTCTGGTATGCAGAAGAGCTGTGGATGTGAAGAAGCTGCAGATAAGGCCGTGTCCAAAACAGGCTTCCAAAGCTATGGCGATTTCTTTTTTCTGCACGTCTCCACGAATTTCCAATGGAGCAAAGACCTAGACCTAGCTCTAGACAATATAACTGACAGAATGTAGGCCAAGCTTGGAAGCTATTTTGTGCATGTGCAAATGTGTACTACTAGACGAACATAGATCATTCATGAATCGCGACGGAAAGCATGGAGTTTCGCTAAATTTCCTGCAAAAGATGTTGTCCGCAGGCATATTTTGTAATTTCAACACAGCATTCATGGAATTCGGGATACAAGGCACTTGTAAACAACATTTGAGCTGCCTTCCCCCAGGTAAACGTGTGAAAAAACCGTTGAAAAAAATTTAACACTGTAGGAGGACTTTTATACCCTGGATGTTAGTCGCAATGCAATGTACATTTAGGGCCTATACAACGTCCAACCTGGGCTACATGCTTGCTTGCTCTTTGGGTGATCTGTTGATCTTCTTGTATGATTTAACAATAATTCTACTGGAGCCAAGTGCCTTTTCTTTCTAATTCGCCATTGTGGAAGATTGCTTTGAAAAAAGTGAAAGTAAAATCGGATATGTTACACAGGATTGACTTGGGCTATAAAGTTATAGGCCTCGTGATAGTGAAGCAGGATTGTGCCATCATGCTGATCGACCCATCGTGCCCTAGAGTAAAAACAGCCTTGGCTACACTGCACAGTCATGGCAGTCTGCAGGCCGCGACGAATCGCCTGTCCGATAGCCCGGGGCAATCAAATTTTCATTCGGGCAATTAAAGTTCTAACTAGATGTGCCCGTTCGGGCAAGTCCAGAAAAGCTGATGTCTTTTCTGTCTTCACAAAATATCTTTCAATAACTTTTTCTCACATTAAAATACTTGTTTTTGTATATTTTCATACTTACATTTGCAATTTCTGACAAGAAACTTCCATTATTTTCACGAGTTCTCATTCACGTTTCGCTGTCGCAGTGGTGAAAACACGCATGCCCACAGCTCAATGCATTAAACGAAGCTGCTCTGGTTCCAGCCGCGCCGCGCCCATGCAAAGAAAATGTAGGAACCAGAACCAGTTTATACGTGTACGGTACGTTCCGGTTGATTACTCTACATCGGCCATACATGCCCGCAACCCTAAAGCCACAGGTAAAAAAAATCAATGTTGCAAGAGGTTTTCTGTAAGTTCTTTCACAGAACTTGGTCTCTTATCTATGTGTTTATTTTCTGTGTTCATGAGTTTAATTTGAGTTTGTTTTACTTATACTTGAAGCGAGCGTCTTTAAACAGATTTCCTGCCGCAGCACAAGGTTTTTCGCCCACTGGTCTGGATGCCTCACACAGGCTTACCACGCGATACATTGTTGGTCAGTTTGCCGTTGTGATTGCCTGAGTCACACTGTGTAAATTGCCCATAATTCTTATGAATTGTCACCTGCAGAAATTTTTACATAGATTAAGACAGGTGTTCATCACTTTTTGAGATAAGTTGGGAAGCTGTCGTCCCCGTTCATGCCATTCAATCAAGACAAAAAACTGAACCAAAAAAAATATTTCCAACCTACCGACCCTATTTTTAAGAGGCATGTAATTTGAAGCACCACTATTTTGGGGGACTAATAAAAGACTGCATGCATGCAGTAGGCCTAAATTAAATAACCATAATAATTGGGGATTCCGAAAAATCTTGGTCCAGTGTTGATCTAATTCGGGCAAGTAAATTTATGGCATGGCCGGCCCGATCGGGCAAGCTAAAAAAAAATCGTCATGGCCTGGCAGTCTGACTAATCGTGACGCTTTCGGTTAACAACAGTTGTGACAGTCCGAGTCCCTTGCTTGATACTTAATATAACAGAAATGACAGAAGGGAGAGATCTCCATGATCTCCGGAACAAAATGACTTTCGGTGAATTTGAATTCCGTAACTCCATGAACTCGGTAAGGGAGTATGTGTACATGTAAATGTAGGCCGAGCATGACCTAGGCCGTGATCTGAGCCCCATTTTTTAAGGGACTGGGCTTAATCGCGCACACACTGCAGTACATCATGCATGTCATAGCTGTCAATTTGTCACAGTGGCAGGACGCTGTCGATATGTACTGTACAGGTACATGTACTGTACATGTATACACCGTACACTGTACAACTTGACAAGTCAACAGACGTATCCGATTTGCCACTGATCGTTAAGTACAGACATTGGCCCTATCTCAACTAATCTGGAACATAAACATTCCCAAGAAAACGTCTTGATCCAATTACTGTCAAAAGTACCTTTTCGGTGAGTTTTGGTGAAATGGTGAAATCGAACGCCGAGAAATAGAGGGCAGTGGCAGTCTCCGATCCGTTCCTAGCCTGTCTAGAGCATCTGTCAGACTCACGTACGTACTTGCGCGTCATCTGTCCTGAATGTAGTGCTACCCGGTCTGCGATCAGACCAAACTCTTTTTCGTTGTAAATTAAAGGGATGGGCGGGTACCAGACTACGGGGCCAGTAGTACTGCACTGCTGAATATTCCTGACGTCATAGTATTATTTGCATGATTTGGTAAACAGGGCCGGCACAACGTAGAGCTATATATAGCTGGATGGTTTCTACTAACTTATACTACATGTGACTTATATTTTTTGTGCTAAATTATACTATGTGATTGCAAACAGTAATGTATGTAGCAAGATGATCACAACGTCACCGTCGAGGAAAGCACGAAATTAAATTCAAATTGTCCAGTAATTAGGATTGTCCGTGCAATTATATTAATACGTGTATATGGAATGTGCACTGTAAAAGCAAAAGAAATATTTTTGGCAAAATTAAATAGACTTCTTGCCGGCAAGATCCTTCCTGTGTGTACAAGGACAGTCTCGATAAACGAACGAGTGGCTCGTTTTGCCGTTGAAACTTGAAGGGGTACTACAAATCGCTACTTAATTCTGTTCACAGCCACCTATCGTTCTTGACCGAGTGGTACGGGATATCCAAGCATCGAGTGTTCTTGACATTCCAAATAGAACCCACCCGCCCACCGTGACTCGGAGTGTTGGTCCTCAAGGAAGGCTGGTGCAGTTCTGAAACTCTGAGTGAATCTTTCGAAGCCTGAAGATTAAGGACAACATATACTCTCTGAACGTCACTGTTATCAGTGATTCTGGATTTTTTTCCCGGGGAAAAACTTGTGAATGAGGATTTTATCTTCCACTATGATAAACTGCGATCGAGGAAGGTTCCGTCGAGGCTATGGAAATGTTATTGTTGATGGGAGCACGCCCTTCCTCCATGATGGGAGACTTTTTAGGCATATATTCGATCCCTAATCATTCAAATTCAAAGTTAAGTAGCTTGCATGTACTCTTGCACTCCGCACATCCCTTGTAGATTTTTATTTGTATTATATTCATTAACGGTTTCGGGATGGGGGTGGGGAAATTGGACCATGCCCCCCCCCCAAAAAAGTGCTTGTATGTACAGTGTACATCATGTAGATTTGAGTCACTTGACTTGGACTCGAGTCGGACCGTCGAGTGACTTGTGACTCGACTATGGGTAACGTCAGTTTTTGACTTGTGACTTAACTTGACCTGTGATCAATTGACTTGTGACCTGACTTGTATGGTGTACTATTTACGACACACATTTGTCAGTGTCGTATGTTGCGTCGTGCGCTAGCACAATGTGTGCTGTTGGCCTTTGATAGCTGGCGCCAAAACTGTTTCTTTCATTTCCGTCCCCGTGCTGACCTATTTCCTATGATATCACAATCGTGCTGGACTACTATGTGTTGTGATGGTAATGAGTGGATAGTGTTGTGACGCTTCAAGATAAACTTGCCAACACGCAGTGTTTGCAAGTGCGCTTGTATGCGGTTGAAGCGGCCCATACGATCACCGTGGCCAAGCCTTGAGGCCGGGCGGTCCACACGCATGGTGGTGGTATAATTGTTAACAGTAGCGCACGTGGGTGAAAAGGTCTATATATGTAGGTAGCAGGCCTTGATTCTCTTGTTCTTTTTCACGTACTTCTTCCTAACTTTGTGTTTTCATTAAGAATGAGTTTTAAAGAAAAGGTTGTTTTGGTTTGGTTTGGTTTGGTTTGGTTTGGTTTGGTTTGGTTTGGTTTGGTTTGAATCAAATGTAATAAGAAAGATCGTCGCGACCAACTGGGCATTGTCTCCAGGAAATAAATAATATTAACGTCAGCACGGTAACAATATTTTAGCTTTTCCTGCTCTTATTCTGATTTTTCTAATAAATACTTGTAAATCCACTCTAAGATACATTTACAATACATCAATCATTATTACGTGCTTGGTAATGTAACATGGGGAACTGATGTGAAATTATGTGCGTGGCCAAACAGAGTTGAAGAAAAGACACCGTCACGGTGATAACAGGGTCTACAGTGTTTTATTCAGAAACATGGACTAATATCATTGAAAAGGGTGAAGTTGAAGTGACGTTCATGAAGTTAACGAGGAAGACTAAACTGAAGGAAGAATGAAGACGGAATATTCTGAGGGTAATAATAGAGAGCAGGCTGGGTGGTAACTTCCTAAACACGTGATCAAACTTGTGGTCTTAGACAATTGTCCCGCAGGAGCGGAAGTACTATTTGAAAGTTAATTACCAGGATGGACCACAGAGAAATATCTGTAAGGTTACAAATAACCGGATTTTTATTTTCAAAATATGACAGAAACTAATTCAAATTGATGAATAGATTAAAAAAACAAGAAAAATCAACGCATGCGGCTCATGTTATGTATTTTGCAAGCACGGTGGACAGAAATGAAAGAAAACAGTGCCCTCTATGAACATCATGAAGCAAATTGAACGCGCGATCGACGCGTTACGCGAGTCGGGCGTTGCGACGGGCGACGGCGTCCGAAAGCGACGACACAACGCGACGGCACGCCGCAAGGGACCAGAAATGCGTATCGTATATACTACACCCCAGACTTGTTACTGGACCAAATGACATGTGATGACTTGGCTTAGAAAAAGTCGAAAAATTGACCAATTGTGATTTGACTTCGACTTGCAAAAATTGGCTTGTTACCACCTCTGCAAAAAGGACAAATTTTTCAGTTCTTGGAAAAGAATGAGTCTAGAGTCGTACACATTTCAAATTAATGCTCGTCTCAGTGAACCTGTGCAGATGTGACAAAAGTTCTCATTAGAAAATTAGAGAGAATTCACAAAATTGTTTCGAGCTTTAAAATCACAAAATTATTGGAAGCTTTAAATTGAAATTATGCATGTATCAATTTTATTTCGATACTTTTTGTTAGCTCACTGGTTATCCTGTAAACCGCGCTGGGAAATCTAATTAATTAAGATGCGTACGTGCGTGCGCACAGTGAGATAGGCAAGACTCCCAGACCGCGTCCTTTGCAGCACGAATTTTTACCAACAGCCAAAAACGTGGAAAGTGAAGGCTTTACCAATAATTAAGGCAAAAGACATGCTTTTTATAATGTTTAATTTACTTCAACCTCTGACCCGTGCCACAACAATTTCAACGCGGTTCATGAACCTGTTATTTTTACAACTAGCAAAATATAACCCCGTGGTGGCAGCATTCCACTTGTCACTGGTTTTGTTCCCTCAAAATATTGATGAATGATCTGGCTGCGGCTAACATACATGTACTCTGCATTGGATATTTCGGCGTCAGCCGCAGCCTCAAATACATGTAAGTCTGAGCCGTTTTTGCACGGGCCCGTAAATATGGCGGCTTTCATGCACTTTGGAAATCGGCCGCTGAAAAGACCACGATTAGGGGCCCCGGACGTTTACCCTCAAGATCCAAAACAGAAAGAGGCAAGTAGAAGCATATTAGGATCATCAGTGATGACAATTTTAGGGGTTTTAGGGTTCTCTTTAGAAATCCTGGTGCGTTTTTGGAGAGTTAATTTCACGTGATAGGCTAACATGGCTAAATAATGACAATGTTACGCCCCAACTATAGCATACATGTAAGTCCCGACTGTAGTTGGGACAGTCCCAGCTGTAATACTGCAGTTGGGCTGGCCCAACTATTGTTGACTAACGTCTGTGGGAAATGTCTCAACATTATCCAAGTCAATGTGTCTCACACTTGACACAATTCATCTAAAATGTGGCACTTCACCTCTTCATCTACTGATCTAGCCCAATGACCAATGACATGACATTTGTAAATGATATGACGTTGGCACATGCTGGACATATGCACACAGGACCTCTCTGCTGAAGTTGGGCCGGCCCAACTGTAGCACTCTAGTTGGGATGGGCCTAGCCCCACTGGTGTGGCATTGACTCTCACTCCCGATGCATCCTTAGCCACACATCCCTATGCGCAATTTCGTGTCGGCGTACTGAACATTTTCGGCGCACCCACTTATCATTGTGAGCGCAATTTCTTTTGCACACGGACATGATTCTTGACCTTTCCGCTTTCTGAACCATTTATTTAATGATTTCACTCACGCTATTGAGGTATTTTCCCGTTTGCAAAAGCTAATGAATAAATGTGACAAAGCATTTTGGCCAGTGGACATGGCAACCAGAACGAGTTATGCAAGTATTGTCAGGAGAGTGATGGGGTTCGTTCACTGGAAGAGAATCCTGAGAAGTTGGAATAGGTGGAATTGTAAGAGTGTGGAAGTGAGCACTTTTAAGTCTATCTATGCTGATACCATCTTTTCGATTGCTAAGATCAGATCAAAGCTGCACTCACCAACGCTACTCTCCTAACACATCCAAAGCCAGGCGCTCCATTGAGCATCATGACAGATGCTTCAGATGTGGCAGTGGGAGCTGTTCTCCAAAAAGCTTCAGCCAGCTGAAACACACTACAGCACCTTTGGACGAGAACTGTTAGCCGTGTACCTTGCCATTCGCCATTTCTGCCATTTTCTTGAGGGCCGAGAATTTCATGTGTATACAGACCACAAAGCGCTCACATATGCCTTTGCTACGTCAACTGACAAACACTCGCCACATGAGATTCGCCACCTTTAACATATCTTATGTCACAAGTGAATTGTGAAACAAAATCAAGTAATTGTGCAGAAAACACCACAACATTACATATAGTAAAGTGACAATGGTTCTCAAAAATTCCAAAGACTCACCAAAAATACCTTTTTCACCACCTACATGTAGGGGCCTACCTTTCTAGGCCTACTGGCTTTCTTAAATGCCAAAGGAAGACTTCTTGGGCTTTAGTGATATTTCTGACATCAAATCTGTTAAAATCCGACTGTTTTCGCTCGACACACACATGACACAAACTTTTCGACACCTGCTCCATTCAAATACGTAGGCTGAGATTTTGCGACAGCAATAACTCTACCAACAACGCCACCATTCAACTGTTCAAGGCGTGTAGGCTGAGGCTTACATGATAATGG